CATATATAATGCATACGATTATCTTTATAATATCGACAAAGAATAAAATGACAAGATTAATGACTTCGAAATAAAAAAAATACATACATTCTAATGAAAGGAATTTGATTTTTCTTTGTTTTGTCTTAAGCATGATTTTTTTCCTACCTGTCATACTTGTGATGAGATACAGATACCGAAAAAAACAAGTAAAAAAATGTGATTGCAAAACAGATAAATGTAATTTTGTTGACGATCATTTTTATAATCAAATGGATAGAATAGACAACTGCATTTCAAGTACTATTGTAAATTGTCAGATCATTCCATTACATCCAATTTTAAATACTCAGAATCAATTCAAAAATTATTTTATTAGGTTTTCAACGATCATCGAAATATTTTCCATTAGCAGTAAATATCATTATATAAATAAAAAGTGTCTATAAGAATCTAGTTCCCTCCTACTCTTTTCGAAAAAACGACTATAACAGATAATAATAGAAATGAAAAAATTATAAATTAAAGTTTAATAACAATTCAATAACCATTTATCTTTTTATAAAAATATTCAATAGTTGTTAAATTTTTCTACCAATGATATATATTTTCTTTAAATTATTTTAATTTTTTTTCTCCCGATAAAGATTATCGTTCACTTTTTTTTGAGTACATATTTTTGCTGACCAGCAAGTTAACAACGTTGTCTGCAATTGTTTTTGAATGCATATTTTATGAAAGATAGGATAATATAAGAGAGTCATTTTTAGATATAATCATTTATATATTAATATAGATTCTATTTTTTTTCCTCATTTTAGATGATATGTAAAGAAATTTTATTTAATCAACACACAAAATAAGAAGAAAAAAAAAGAAAATATATCTTTATCACAAATACAAATAATAAGTATATAAAAGATTCATCTATTCTTAATAAATGTAACTACTAATTCTTAAATATTTAATTTATTTCATCTGAAGATTTCTTTTCACTGAGTAATGAAAAAACGATCTAGTTGACAAATCTTTTTTTTATTTGAATATTACGCACATTGTTTAAGACGCATATTGTCAATGAGTGCAGTGATGTGAAAACAACAACATTACGTCGATTTCATAACGACAGAATCTATGCATGTATAAACATGACTTGGTAGCTTATTGCGAAGAAAAATAAAACAGAACGAAAAAGAGTCGTTCTACAGTATCAACGTGGCGTCTTTTCTTTTTTCACCGTATATTATTATGAGTTATACCTTGAAAAAAAGGTAATTTTGTAATAAAAATAAATAAATTGTTTGCCATTTTTTAATCTCTATTTTATTGAATAAAATCGGATATTATAGTTAAATTATTTACAGATTAATAAAAGAAAAGAAAATTATTTCTAGCCTTCCATTTATTCTAAATAAATGAAAAAAAGGTTTTTGGCATTAATTTAATTTAAAACGTTAACAATTGATCAAATTAAACAAAGAAAAATATCTAGTTTTATTTTTTAATATTTAACAAACATTTTGTCATTTGCACCTTTTAAATTAACGTATAGTCTGAATACTTCCTTGAATATATACAAGACCTGTATAAGATTAGTTTGAATCGATAATTTAATATAACTATTTGTACAATCAATGGAGACTTTTTGTTTTCAATCATCACAATTGATCGTATTAATGAAAGTGTTTTTTGGTTTTCGCAAAAAAACGACTTTTCTGTCTTTAAATATCAATTTCATGATAAGACAAAGAATGTTTATGTTAAAAAAATTTATTTTTAATCTCATTGATAAATACATTCATCAACACTAAAGAATATAACTCAACGTTTTCGTAGTATAAACAATTCTTGATTATAATATCAACCGAAAATTATATATTTACATTCGAGAATCGAGTATTTTCCTTATAAAAGAAAACTACATTGAATTATATATTCTTAATATAGTAGCAGTATTTAAAGTTGTCATAAAACAATACTTTGACTTTCATACTCAATTGTGAGGGTGTTATTCAAGACGTGACACGCACACTCACCCCACACTAATATCAATATAGATTTCAATGGAAAGAAAGATAGACTTGATATTAATCTGAATTTTTTCTCTGACTATTCTATTTTTATTTAAAAAGTAAATTTATTATTTTTCAACCTAATATATTCTAATTATAGAAAGTAAATCTAGTATTACGCAAATTTTTTTATTCTATACTCTATAAAACATATCGATTAGATATTTTATTAATATTTATCAAAGATTCGAAGCTATAATACGAAGATTATTGTTCAGATTTTTCCATTCTTCTTTTTTTATGTCTTCCTAATTCATATCGCGTTGAAGTAATAATAATTATTGTTCGATTAAATGGCATAAATAATTCACGCATTTCTACAGGATGAAAACACATAAATACATTGACTTGATTCATTTTCGAATCATTCTTGTAAACATCATAAAATTGTTTTCGTTCAGAAAACCTAGGAGACATTTCATTTGTGGGTGGAAATAAAGAAGATACATACACCCACACTCACACCCTATAGATCTGAGAATGTATGCATAAATAGAATAACGATGAGGTGTACTAATTCATCAAGTACTAGTCCGTTCGAAAAAAGTCATTTACAGCACCGAACCAATATGAAAGAAATGTGAAAATGCGTATAAAGTTATCTTTTTTTCATTCTTATCTCAACAATCTAATTCTACTACACCACTTTTATTTGGGCACGCACAATACTTATAAAAAAGAAAGGAAAGAAGACATTACTTTTACATATATTTCTGGACTTTTATTCACACATCTTTCATGTTAAAAACAGTTTGTTGTAAGAAACTAAAAGCATCACGAAATTTTCCATGAAATAAATCAATAACTAATGACTTGACTGATTCTGCAGCGGCGGTACCCACTATTCAAAATATGCCTCTTCAAGGAAAACTAACAAAACCCAAGGAACTGAACACATTCAATAGGTGCTGATAAGCGAGACCTCTACTGTATGAAAATGTCAACAGTGATCAATTGAGAATCCATTCGGCTACAATGTTTTTAACGCTTATTGTCAAAAAAGAAGTCTATCTTTATTTAAGCGTGGGTGGGTAGGTATGAGAGAAGAAAGAACCAATCCACATTTACACCCACACTCCCATTACTTTTAGTAAATGTTTAATTATCAAATATAGTTACAAATAATATTGAAGAATTTCTTCAGTATTCTTAAAAGTTTATTTTAGATAAACTAAATATAAATACTTATAAATGACATGGCTATGGTGGATTTTCATCATTAGTATCATTATGTGTACGTGAAGCTGCTCTTACCATATGCGGCATGTTAGTCGCGAGATTACTCATTCTTAATGAATATGTTCTGACTTTCTTTTTGAATATTTAGTAGTTTTATATATTTCGAATATATATTATTGGTCTGGTACACGGTGCCCATCATTCGATCGAATGGATGGAAAAATTGTTATTATTACAGGAAGTAATTCTGGAGTGGGAAAACACACAGCTATAGAATTAGCAAAGCGAGGTAAACAATATTTGTCATGATTTAGAAAAAGATATTTTTTTCTATTTTATTTTACAGGTGCTCATGTAATTTTAGCTTGTCGTGATCGAAAACGGACAGAGAAAGCATTAAAAGAAATATGTAAATTATCAGGAAGTAATAATGTAGAGATCGAAATTGTTGATCTTGCTTCATTAAAATCAATTCAAGAATGTGCTAAACGTCTTCGTGGAAGATTATCAAAATTAGATGTTCTGATAAATAATGCTGGTAAATAAATATTCAATATTAGTTTTTATGATGAACTTGTGTCTATCTTTAGGAGTAATGATGGCATCAGAAAAATCTGCTGATGGTTATGAAATGCATTTTGCTGTTAATCATCTTGGTCATTTTCTGTTAACAAATCTTCTCTTAGATTTAATGAAAAATGCTCCATCAGCTCGAATTATTAATGTATCATCTATAAGTCATGCTTGTAAATATTTCTTCTTTTTAATGAATAAAAACTTTCTTTTTCTTTTTATAAATTTAGTTTTAAATATAACAATAAATTGGGATGATATTAATTTTACAAAGCCCTATTGGAAATTCAATGCTTATTCACATAGTAAATTAGCAAATATATTATTTACGAATGAATTAGCACGAAGATTACAAAGTTTATTTGATTATTTTTATGATATAAATGTATTTATTTTTATATTAAATTTCAGATACAAATATTACTACAAATAGTCTTCATCCTGGTAAATGAATTTTTAAGAAAAATTCTTTCATCAAAAAGATATTTTCTAGGTCTTGTTCGAACTGAAGTTATTCGAAACATATTAGGTCATTATCAAATAATATTAAATACATTAATTCTTCTTTTAACACCTATATGGTATTGTTTAATCAAAAGTCCTGAACAAGGTGCTCAAACATCTATTTATCTAGCATCTGACCGTCGTTTGGATCATGTGACAGGAAAATATTTTAAGTAAATTATTTACTTAGATTTTTCCTATTTCTCATTTTTTTTCTATTATAATGGAAATATATAGGGAGTGTAAAGAATGTTCATCATCAAAAACATCACTTGATCAACAAGCTGCTAAGCGTCTTTGGAAACTAAGTGAAGAAATGACACATTTAGATGATGCATTAAAATATGTACGAAATAATTAATTTTCTATTTAATAATTATATTTCTTTTCGCTATAAATTCCATTAATCATCAAATGAAAGTGATTGTTAATTTTTAGATAATTTTAAACTGACAACTAATAGTAATGAATATTTTGCTTATTGTTAACAATCATATTATTCATCTTGATGGTGGGTATAACTGTTTTCATTCTCTCGTGCCTATACTCACAACCACACCCACCCACATCCTCAAGATCTAGATCGAAATCTAGATTGCGCTAATTTATTCGTTGAACTTAAGCTCACGTTATTGATAAAAAACTTATTATCTAGAAAAGAAGAATTAGTTTTTCGTCTTCCATATATGACATTCACTTGAAACAGCAGGCGTAACAATATAAACGGCCACATTTTCCACAATAGTAACGAACAGGACGCCGATCACCAACCGGAAACCCACATTTTTGACATTGTGGACGGGTGTCAATTTCACGAACACTAACATAAGTATAATCTACTGGAGGATCACGACGATCACAATCATCATTATGCTTGGTATCACATCGACTATTGCAACCTGGACAGACGAAATGTGGCATGGTCTGTTGCTTATCTTCTAAATAAAAAACGGAGAACTGAGTCGCATATTGAGAAATGGTACTGTAATTGCATCAAATTTGTCAGTACCAGCATCGGCTGAGTTAGTAATCTGATACTCTTCAGTATGATAGAGTTAATCAAGTATCTGATAAGGTACTGGTAGAAATTTCTAGAGGGTGTGAGTGAGGATGTCTCTTCTTCTCTCACACCCACATCTACACCCTCAAGATGCAAGTTTCATAAAAGACTACGAGTCTTTCTTTTTAACACAACTGCATAAAAGTAAAGAGAATATTACCCGTTACGATACTTAAAGGTTTGTTTCTCAAAACCAATGGTGAAACTGTATGCAAAGATGACGTGACAAATACATATGCCGGTTGTATTTCTCTGAGAAATATAATATGTGTGGCATTCACACCATGTATCACGTGTACTTGCTTAATAACTTCAAAACAGGATCCGGGCATTAAAATAACTTCTTCTTCTTCTTCTGCATTTTTGAAAAACGAATGTTCCATGACTGATTTTCCATTTTGAGACTCGATAGAAAATAATGTTCGTATACCTTCGGTGCCCAAAAATCGTTCGCTTTCAAGGGTTCGTCGTAATTCTAAGCACGAACTCACGCCCCACCAAGTAAACTTGCTTCCGGGAGGGTATTTTGGACTTAAGTCAACGTCGCGCACACCACGCCAAATTGTCTGAGCGCTAGATGGAAGTTTTTGAAGAGCTGTAAAAAAGAGTTTTAGAAAATATAGCCACGGCTCCAATGCTTGACGATTTTCTGAGCGTAAATGCTTGTTAAAGATGTGGCTGAAAGAAATCTGGGAGCCAAATTCCATTGTATATAATTGAATAGATGCAGATTCATCTTGACTAAGACCGTCCATCGGATTTTGTGAATTTTCTTTAGCTGCCGACACATTTCTTTCAATACCGTCAAACAAATGAATAACTTCTTTCAGTGATTCTTCTAACGTGACAAGTGGCACGTCTTGGTAATCTGTGAAGGAGGCGAGAAGACACACGGCGGGCTCATTCAACACGTCTGTAAAGCGTGAAACGGTTCGATTTTCTTCATCAGCCATCGTTTGTACAATTTTGATATATATAATGTATTGGCTGAATCACTTGATAACAAGAGTTTACTAATCGTGCTCGAATAACAAAGAAAAATAAAATCTATTTTGCCTACTATCGTATGTTAAATGGTGCAAATGAAAACAAAAATATTCTATATACGGCTACTCACGATAGATTGTGGAGAACGGAAGAGAAAAATATTCTGACTATACTGACTAAAACAGCACCACGCGACGCGAAGAACGAAAGAGAAAAATATTATGACTACAACGGAGAGGATGAGGTCGTTTTGAGGGTATGAATGTGATAAGTTACTCCGAGAATATTCTTTTAAATTTTCAGGATTCTTACAAAATGGCTAATATCACTGCAATGATTCAAAAGAAGAATTTCTTTTGTTCATAGAGGATTTCAAATAGAATATAAAGTCGAGTTTCACAGCAGCAGCAGAATTCAGACTTCTTTATTGAGTTAGTCAATTAACAATATAAAAAAAATACTGAATTTAATTTAAGTCGACATGTTTCGCCATCTCAATGGCATTATCAAGAGATCGTCTCTTTATGTAGAGATAAAAAGGAGAATTAAAGAAATAAAAGACTGGTTGATGAAAAACAGTGACGGAATTGTCTATTTAGAGTATTTCACATAGCGATAACATGTAGAAAAAAAATACTATAATCTTTGGTTGAGGCGTTTATAATAGCGATATCCGAGCAGTATATTGAGAGAGACCGACATAGAGACACCAAGGGAAAGGAGCATGATCAATGTCAACTTCCATTTCATCTTGTTCTTTTGTGTCTTCATTGATCATACTTAATCGGTGTTTATCACAATCTACTATGATTGTATATACATGGCTGTTTTTTTTCATATAGCTCAGAATTTGCTTCAGCTCATAACTGTCCCATTTTCCATTAAGAACACGACCACGATCTTTCAGCCAACCGTACGTCGAAGGACTAGTAGAATAGGTGCCCCAACAATAATCATCCGGCATAAGCGGTATATTTCGTGAGTGAATACCCAGAACTGGATTGCCATGATCTACTCTTATTCGAATATGGTGAATGCCAGATGAATATGAGTGAATACCAAGTGCACATCCACATAATCCAGGTGTAACATTCATAACCGTTCTTTCATTATCCAAAGATTGTATTGCCGTCTCGTTAGGTGTATAAATTTGTACGAATTTCTCATCGTTTACTATGTTCCCATTGTTGAACGTTGTTGATGATGAAGTAGAAGAAGCCATATATTTGCTCTGTATTTCTATTCGATTAAACACTCTACAACAATAAAATATCTTCTTTTAACGGCCTGCAATTTTTCTTTTCTGACTAATTCGTATATTTCTTCTCACAGCACGAAACACCGAAAAACAACAACGTATAGGAGGATCTTTTCTTCTTTGTACCTTACTTCAAGAGAATAGTAAAAGAAAAATAGTTGTTATTGCATCAATCGCCGAACAAACGTGCGCAAGAGAACGTAGTATTTGTTTTTGTGCGTCTACTCGATAAGGCACTATGAAACGGAGAAATATCTTCTTTTTCTTTTTTTGCGTTCGTATATGCTACCTAAGACTTTATTAATTTCATTTTATATCGACTGGTCCGATATTATTCAATTCGTGCAGAGTTGAAAAAAGCCATGTTATTTCAACGAGAGCTAAAAACTGCCTATATCTTGAGAGTGTTGGTGATTGTGTCTCTTCTTTTCTCACATCCACACGATTTCCATAAATCCTTTGAATAATCTAACAAAAAATTGACATTTTCTCCAATGTGATATGAATGATCAATCTGAAAATAGATTCGTTTTCACATAATGTTACAAGAGTCAATTTTTTTACTTCTAAATGAAGATGAAAACAATACATTTATTAAAAAAAACGATTTAGTGAGTAAAAGCAGTGATCATCCGATAATAAATTCCTTTGAGTGCAAGAAGTGTTTCATGTGTTCCTGATTCGATGATGTCACCTTGATTATTAAAGACATAAATCATATTACATCGTTGAATTGTAGACAAACGGTGGGCAACAATAATAGTCGTACTATTTTCATTGAGATGAGCTTCTTCTAATGCTTGTTGAATAAGCTACAAATGACATAAGAATTGTTTTTTATACTTGAAAATACAGAATAGCACAACAGTCTCAATACCGAGAAAAAATTAATATGAACAAGTGAAATTTAGCAAAGTTTCTCACTAACCCTGTATTTCGAAAAATATGATTACCTGTTCGTTAACAGTATCCAAAGCTGATGTAGCTTCATCAAAAAGTAATAATTTGGTTTGTCGAAGTAGACAACGAGCAATAACAATACGTTGTTTTTGTCCAGTAGACATTTGAGTACCTTCAACTCCTACATTTGTTTCATAAGCCTGAAAAAAAACAATTTGTTAACATTGTTGATATCATACTGAATGTTTTATTAAATACCTGTGGTAATGAACAAATGAAATCATGAATTTTGGCTAATTTTGCTACTTGAATGATTTGCTCATCGGTTGGTAATGATTCTGAGCGATATTGACAACCAAATAAAATATTTTCTTTTATAGTTGTATCAAATAGAATTGGTTCTTGATTGACTAAACCAATTTGAGAACGCCACCAATCAACATCTAATGATCGAATATCATTATTATCAATAAACTAGAAATTGAGAGACTTTCAATTATTCAAAACAAAAAACTTTCTTTTTACCAAATGACCGTCATCAACATCATAGAAACGAGTGAGTAATTGAATAATACTTGATTTTCCACATCCACTTGGACCAACTAATGCTATTGTTTGACCTAAAATAAATAATTATTTACTTTCATAGAATATAAAGAATTTACCTCGATGAATTTGCATTGATAAATGATCAAGTATTTTTATATGTGGTCTTGTTGGATAAGAAAAAGTCACTTGATCAAAATTGATATCACTATTAAATGAATTCTATAAATATATAGAAAGATAAAGATATGTTCTATTGATTAAAATATATCTTACAGGTTTGTGTTTATTAGATGCTTCAATATCAATCAATGATTGACGTTCGAATAGATTGACAAAATTACGAGATGCTGTTCCTGTTCGACCAATTTCTGCAGCTCTAAAACGAAGAACAGATTCAACCAAACTCACATTATTAGTTTATTTTCATTACTTACGCCATTTCAGTAATCATTGTACCGACACTAATAAAAATAGCATAAACAAATACTCTAAAATAAATCACTTAAAATGATCATTAAATGAAGAAAGTTATTTTTACATCGTCATTTCATCCAAGCTTAGTAGTTTATCATCAACAAATTTTAATCCAACAGCATACAATATACCTACAGCAAATCGTCCAATAGAATGTCGTATTCCTGATAAGAACCCAAGAACGACTATTGTTTGTGTTGGTCTAAAAATATTCATTGATATTAAATTAAATGTCTATCAATTAACGTGTTTCGTTTATACAGTTCAGTTTGATCGATCAATGCATTGTATTGATTGGAGAAATCTTTATCTTTTCCCAGTTGGCGAACTGTACGAATATTTGATATACATTCAACAGTCAACTAGACAAACGATAAATATTCATTATTACTATTAGACTAATCATATGTCAAGAAACAAATAGATATAGATCTTATCTTTTGTAAAATTTTTATTGTAAAAGACAAAACTTACTGTAGTTGCTTCTTGAACAATTTTATTATGTACAATCGTATTTCGTTCATTGATGTAGATTATTCCAGCAACGACTAATGCATAGATTATTAATTGAATATTTACAATAAGCATTAATCTCCAATTAATAATTAAACCAATAATTGTACCGATGAAAAGTGTTCCTATTGCTTGTATTACAAATATAATTCGAATATTCAATAACTATTAAGAAAAATTCAATTCTTAGATGAAGATCTTAGTATTTTTTTTTCCTAAGATTTCTTTAATAACTTACTCGTTTAACATCATCAGCATCGGTACTTAGACGAACACAAAGTGCTGTACTATTATTCTCTTGTCGATCATGCCAGCCGACTTCTTGTCGAAAAAATGCTGTCAATGCTTTTATACGAAGTCTTTTGATAAAAGCTGTAGCTGCAACAGCAAAATTTGCATGCTAAATATAAAATATATGATTTTAGTCAAATTAATTTCATATGAAATAACTTAAGACAAACAATAATTATATTAATCGAGAATGTTAAAATGCCCAATAGAAATAGAATAAAACAAACAAACTTTATCTTTTGTTCTTGTTGTTTAATATGACATTCTTGTAATACCTAAATAAATAAAACATTTCGAACGCGTTTCTAAATATTCGAAGATTAATGAGAAAATTGATTTACTTTAACTGAATATCCAAGCAATATAGAATATAATACATCGAATCCACTGTAAATAAGACAAATAATTGAACCTATAATGATATAATTATACTCAGGACGTGCTAATTTAAGTAAGGTAAAGAATGGATATTTTGTTTTCGTCGATGTCGTCTAAAAGAAATTAACAAATTGAAATATTTCTTCAATAACATGTGCATACTTACATCATTAGTATTCAATAGTGATACATTTTTATCACCTGATGATACATGACGGTATCTCACTATGGTATGAAAAATAATATTTGATAGAAATTATTTAAATAAAAACCTAACTCCTTACTTTCATTATCATTATCATCAGACAACATATCTGTGACGATTTCAGTAGCATTGTATTGTTGTTGTGCTTGTACTAGTTTGAAATATAGTCCTTGAAGAGTCATTAAAGACTCGTGATTGCCTGATTCGACAATCTGACCATGATCCAAAAGATATATATGTGAACATTTACGAATAGTTGATAATCGATGAGCAACTATTAATACAATTCGATCTTGACATGATCGATAAAGTGCTTGTTGGAAGAGTACTTCGCTATGACTATCTAAAGCACTCGTTGGTTCATCTAATAATAAGATGGGTGCTTGTTGAATAAGTGCTCTTGCTAGAACAATACGTTGTCGTTCACCACCTGATAGATTAAATCCTCGACTACCAATCATTGTGTCATATTCCTTAAATAACAAATCAATAAACTATCACACTAGAAATGAACATATCTAACAGGCTTACATTTGGTAATGCCATAATAAAAGTATGAGCATTTGCTTGTTTAGCTGCTTCAATAACATCTTTTCTTGTTGCTTTCGCATTTCCATATTGTATATTATTAAAAATAGTTGTAGAAAAGATTGCCTAAAATATTAATTTTGTCTAATAAAATATTTCTTACATTTTCTATATATTTACTGCATCTTGATTGACAATAGCAATATGTTGTCTTAACCATTGACGATTATAATCAGTTAAATTAATACCATCTAAAAGTATTTCTCCCGATGTAACATCATAGAATCTTGTTAATAATTGAATACATGAGCTTTTACCACTTCCACTATGACCAACTAAAGCTACAGTATTACCTCGATCTAAACTAAAGCTAATATCATTAAGAGCGTACGTCGTTGGTCGTGATGGATAAGTAAATGTCGCATGATTAAACTGAATATTATTGAACGATGCCTCTGTACGAAGATGTTTATCATCATTGATATCTTCATTAGTGGTTTTATCTTCATTAAGCATTGCAAAAACATCAACAGCAGCACCTTTAGCTTCGCTAACGAACACACTAAATGCTCCTGCTTGAGTGACTAAACCAAGACATATTCCAGCTACGGTTAAAATCTTTAATTACAACGATATAAAATACATTTCATTTGTTAACATCGAAAAGTAGTATATCTATTTTCATTTTACTTACTGTTAGAATATCATTAATAGATGGTTGATTCTTCTCAGAGAAATGACGAAATATAAATATAACAGTGATGAGACAAATAACATAAAACAAATATGTGACAATTTTTAATGTACTGTGTATTAATCCAAACACAATGCTTTTCTTCTTTGTATATTGTTGAACGAGGTCGAGATAATTAGTATAACTATAAAAGAAACAGAGAATTATCTGATTTATCATGAACTACTATTTCGATTGGCAGATTAAAACTCACCGTTTAATAATAAATCCAACAGCATTATTGACAAGAACAGTTCGTAATGCACTAAGTCCTTCTTGAGCTACACCTCCCGCTTTGGCATACGTACGCATTTCATCTACAGATATACGTGTGATAACCTTAATAAAACAAAACAAAAGAACACATGAATTAATTTTTAAATAATATATTGAAATTACCGTAGATAGATAATTTATTAGAAAAAAATTCCAAAATATTATAATAAATAATAGAACTGCTAATGGCCAATAGATAAATAAACAAATGATCATACCAAATAATGAATATAAAGAAGTTGTAATAAACGTTGTTAATTTATCTCCAATTCCTAATGCAATATGATCAATATTTGATGATAATTTCATATACCATTCTGTACTTGAATGAGTATCAAAATAAGTCAATGTCTAAATTATATTTTGATTTAAAAAAACAAATTCTTTCAACGAAGTAATATTTATACTTTGTTAAGAATTGTACGAAATAATAATTGACGTATTCGATTTGTTTGACGTTTACTTGTGGTAGTAAATACCATATAGCTTATACCAGAAACAAAAAATTGAATGCATGCCAATACTATAGAAAAAAATATTCTCATATAAATAGGAAGAAAATGATCAACTGATTCGTACCAATTAATTTTACAATCAAATGATAAATTCTTTTATGAAAATCTGGATAATCTTCCATTAGAGATTGTATTGCACTATTGTTACTATGACACAATCTATAGGATAAATAATAAAATATATATGACATAAAATGATAAGAAATAAAAAATTACTTGTAATATTGATTGTAAGGAATAGTATTTATATCAATTCCAAAAGGACATTGGCTTGATGCGACAAATAGACATTGATCATATACACGTTGTGCAAATGTTCCACAAAGACGACCCAGCAAATAAAGCATCCATGGAAAGATAAAACCTTGAATAAATGATAAACTAAAACCAATTATTAGTAATAAAATATCCCATTTATCAGCAAATTGAAACTAAAATAAAATAAATCAGACACAGTGATCTTGCCGTTCATTGAAATTTCTTACCAATTCAATGAAACTGACTGTTTTTCTGGAAGACGACTTCTCATTCGTTGTTGATGTTTCGATCTTTTCTCCATAGAATTTTCCGAATAAAGTTGATCTAAATATTTGAAAAATTTGAAGTAATAATGAAAGAGTTTCTTAGTTTTTATACTTGTTTTTCGATTGTATCGATTCATTTTCATTATGGCTTAGAAGTGGAATTGATGCATCACTTTGTTTTCTCTTAAACATCTTCTTATATTTGCCAAGTGATCTTGAGTTTTTCTGAAAGATAAAATTTATTATAATGATAAGTATTATTCTGCACTAGTTACTTATCATTTAATTAACTTATCAAGATAATGCTTTGATCATTGACAAAAAAACTAATTTATGATCAAAAAAATGTCTTTGTATATAAATCGATTTCTACTATTACTTTTAATATTAGTCAAAAAAAACAACCTTCGCGACAAATCAACTGTGACTATGTATACGTAGTGATATTATTCCTCTTCGTTCTGTCTCATATGCTGATGTATACACCGTTGTGCTACGTTTTTCATACTGATAGGTAAAATGAAGCATGTAGATTGATTAGAAGCTAGTATAACACGACAAAGAAAATAACTGCATTGAGTCATTAACTATTATTATGAAAACAGTCTTCTATTTTGTCACTTCTTTTTCAAATTACAATCGTGTACTGATTTTCAGATATACTTTCCTATAAAACTTGAAGATTTCTATTATTATGTTGAATAGTTTGTTTTCTTTTCCAAAATATTATGAAAATAGAAAGAAAAAACGTAGACTGCATTCCGAACAAATATCAGATAAAAATCAATTACCTGATATTATTTCTTCATTATCACTTCTTATCGATTTAAAATCAAAAATAACAACTCAATTGATTGTTTCGAATGCTGAAATAATTTTGATATTAACATGCAAATTTAATATATTATTCTACAGACATTTTAAACGCATTTTAAAATCTGTCTTTCCATCTATTCAGATCCACCATGTAGAATAAATCCAGCTAAATTCTTTTCCTGATTAGTTAATTAGTTTGAAATTTATTTAACTAAGAAATTCCTGAAAAAATCTAGAAATCCGATTATGTCCAGGTTACGTTTACAGTTTTATTTTGCAGAGATCGATCTGTATATACAAGTCTTTTTCTGATATTTCAAAACTCTTGTGAGCTCACATTTGCATACTAGCCATGATCGTCGAAGATTTATTACGAGATTGTAGGAATAATTTTAGTGTTTATATTGTGTCATTATAGAACTAATTCGAATTAAAACAGAAAAGTCTTTGAAATCTTAATAAAATACTTGAAAAATCTTGATGACAGGTGGGTGGGTGTGGATTAATAGAAGATCCACACCCATCCACTTATTCAGAAGTTATCGAATATATTAGGAGCAGCTAGACAACAGATTTTCTAATCAGTGCATTTTTTCAGTGAATTCTATACAAAATAACAAAATATGTTGTTCAAATAAGTTCTGTTCTCACTGTTAGAAAACATTGCATTTTCTTCTTTAAAAATTACGATTTTTAATATTTTTCTTTCATATCCGTCCTCCAAAGTTTGAATATCCTGAATGTTCATTGTACTTACAGCAGAAAATAACTGACATCTGGTTGAATTTTGTTCATAAATTAGCTTTAAAAAAGGAAGAGAATTTATTGTTTTTATTTACCGATCATTTTTAATGTTGTGTTTTATTGCAGATGTTTCAAGAAAAATAGTTCACGTTCATATTATTACGTAGAAGATAAAAACTTGTTGTTTTTATGATCATTAATTTGCAGCAGCACATCGAAGTGTTTTGTGTCACTTTAACGATTTTGTAATCAGTTACTTCATAATAGTGCTGCAAAACAACTACTTATTTTTGATCAACTGAATTTGGGTACGGGTTAGTATAACGTAATGCTATGTGAATAATGGAGAAAAAAAGATTTTTCAGCTTTCATGGACGAATATAAATTTCAAACCTTTTTTTAAATGTCTTTTTTTTCAGTTTTGGCTAAATCATTTAAAACTATTCCGCAAAAGTCTTATAAACATATGTCTATATTAATAATTTTATTTCGATTGATCTGTAAATAAAGTGTTTTTCATTGTTTTAGTTTTGCTCAAGTATTTTTTTCATATTTGAAGATATGTTTTATTTTGATATCACCTGTTTTTATTAGATATTTTAGATTATTCATTTCAATAAGATACTAATTCAATTTTACACGTGCACAAAATATTCATCATGAATCGAAATCAAATCGGAGTTTGTGATGTAATATATTTTATTCAAATTAGATAAAATAAATTTAATTTCAATGATTTATTTTAGTTTGAACCAGTTACGTTGAATTCTCAGCAGACGTCCACGGGTCAATCAACATTGTTGTATGTGTTTTATAAATTATTGACATTCATAATAAAAAGAATTATTTATTATAGAAGGCAATGTTTTCAAAAAAAGAAACTGTTACGGATCATGGTTGGCATTACCATTGTTGCTTTAATTGTAACTATTTCAATCGTAATTATTAAAACAAAAACAGCAAATATAATAAAAGTATCAACTGTAACAACAGAAACAACAGACGTCACAGAACTATCAACTATGATAATAACACCAACAACAACAATACCAACTACTACTACAACAACTAGTACTTCAACAATAACAACAACTAGTACTTCAACAACAACAACAACTACAACTACAACTACAACTACTACTACAACTATAACTATCACTACAACAACAACAACATCAACTACTACTACAACAACAACAACAACTACAACTACTACAACAACACCAAACATGATAAAACTGTCAACTGTGACAACAGATACAACAACGGACAACCCAACGACAAAAGGTATAATATTGATAAAAGAAAAAGAAAAGGCGACAATGTTTTTTTTGATAAATAATTGAAACATTTTCATTATATGTTAGTGTTGAATTTATTTTTAAATATTTTATTAGAATATTTATACAGATTAGAATTCTATCGTTTAATTTTTGAGAGAGATAAATATCAATAGTTTTCATGAAATTCATAGTTCAATTTCTTGAGGAAGAATTTTGAAGAACTATTTCATCAAGAGAAGATTTATTTCTTTTTCTTCGAAATGATGTTTTTGTCTTTGTATGAATAAGTTTCTATTGTCATTCTCTACTTAAAGTTTCGAGATAAGAATATACATTTTATAGAATGACATGTTAAGAAAATCTATCGAATAGAATTCATAAACCATTTTGAGGATGTGCGTGTGGGTGCTATACTCTTCTTTTATCCGCACTCACATCCACTCTACCTTTTTGTTATTTAATACTATAAACATAAAATTTTAATCATCTTTCCTTTTTACTTTCAAGTGACATTTTAATTTAACATCAAATCATTTTTTCTCTCACTTTTAGTACAAACCATACCAAAATATAACAAATGGAACCAACATGGAATTACGATTGCTGGAGGACATGGTGGTGGAGATCAATTAAATCAACTCTATACGCCTTTTGAGATCGATATTGATGATAGCAATGCCATTTTGATTGCTGATACTATAAATCATCGTATTGTTGAATGGAAATATAATTCGAGCAGTGGTCAAATCATTGCAGGCGGTATGGGAAGTGGAGATAGGCACGGTCAATTAAATATGCCACTCAGCGTAATTGCTGACAAACAGAAGAATGCAATAATTATATGTGAACATGGAAACAAGCGAGTTATACGATGGTTTCGCCAAAGTCAAACGAATCCACAAGTTCTTATTTCTAATATTTACTGTAGCGGGATGACAATCGATAGAGATGGATCTATTTATGTTTCTGATTCGACAAAGGCTGAAGTAAGACGATGGAAAGAAGGAGACACAGATGGAACATTAGTTGCAGGTGGAAATGGACCGGGATATCTTCTAAATCAATTCAGGAACCCTTGTGATATCTTTGTTGATGAAGATTATTCTGTTTATGTAGCGGATATTGACAATCAACGTATAATGAAATGGACAAAAGATGCAAAAGAAGGAATTCTTGTTGTTCGTGCACATGGAGAAGGAAATGGTCTCAACCAATTAGCTAACCCTTATGGAATAATTGTTGATAATTTGGGTCAAATCATTATTTCGGACTATAAGAACCACCGAGTGATGTTTTGGCGTGAAGGAGATACAGAAGGTGAAATTGTTGCTGGTGGAAATGGTGAAGGAAATGAGCCAAATCAATTAAATTCTCCGAGAGGTGTGTCATTGGACGTTGAAGGAAATCTTTATGTTGTTGATTCTCGTAATCATCGAATTCAAAAATATGAACTATGTACGAAATAAAATAAAAACTGTTGTATTTTGAAAGTAACTGTATTGTGAAATAATATAAGTCATTAAAATAAAAAATTTCTTCTCTTTGAAAAATAAATTCATTTTAGTTTATGAAATATTCATCACAAATGGAAGTTTTAATTTCTTAAGAAGTCCATTTCACGTATATGAGAGATAATTATGTTTTTCTTGTGGAAGTTTAATATGAATAATTTATTGTCTCTAATTTTAGATTCGGTGTGGGTGTGTGATGGTGCGGGTGCGGGTGTTGGTGCGAGTATTCCCTCAGTCTTTACCTTCAATCACACCCATACCCACATCCTATAGTCGTGTGATGCTTTGAATTGCTTATCTCTCTCATATGATTCTTCTACTTTTTAATTATTTCTTATATTTGTTGAAAGTTTTCATCTTCTGACTGTATAAGTTTATAATTATGTAGAAAATCAGCCACCTAAAGATTTGGATTTTTAAGCAAGGTCGAAACTATAGTCGTGGTAGCTTTTATCTTATATACACACCCTCAACTACACCCACACCCACAGTTCATTTTATCATGAATGAATTATCAATAAGAAGAAAAATTAGTATCTACATCAACAATAAGTCATTATCTTCATGAATTCTATGTCAAATATGATTGAAAAATTGTTAAAAAGTCATCAAAAAAATATTCATCTTTTCTTTTCTTTTTTAATTATTAAAATTGTATTGTATTGAGTCTAAAATGTATAATGAAAATAATTCTTCTGTAGAATTGATGAATGATCTAGACAATGACGAAACCGATCGTGGCTGTTTGTACTCATCCGCATCCATGTCTTATCGTCAAGCTACGTATGACTGATCATGCTTAATATTTGTTAACTAAAAATGAATAATATCGTGTAGTGAATATTTTTTTTCTTTTTGTTCTGTCCTACTCTTTTTTTCAAAATAATGTTGCTAGTTACTCACACGAGAAACAACGACGTCTTCCAAGGTTACGAACAGAATTACAAATTTTTGCATAAAATAACGTGAAATTAAATGAGCACCGATTTTCACACATTAATGGCAAACATATCTATTCTTGATCTGCCTGTCGAGATATTACATCGTATTTTCGATTATTGTGATGTGAAAACAATTCTATTTTCTATCCGTTCTACCTGTAAACAATTATATAATATGGTTAATACGTACAATCGATTTCAGTTAGACTATAATTTTGAATCAACGGTCTATTTTAATTCCATTTGTCGTGTTCTTCAACTGCAAAATGTAATTTCGTTGACATACTCAAATGGTACAACGAGAGATAGTTCTATGAATTTATTTTCTTCATTTATCGATATCCGTCAATTAACTCAACTTCGCTCGTTGGTCCTTCATAAAATCAATCATGAAGAGTTAGAGTACTTTCTAAAAAATGTAACTTCTAACTGTCTTACTACACTTTCAATCGATTCAAGACCGAAAAGAAATGGTAAAATAATAATTCTCGCATCATCAGCTGTTGCGTAATTCAATCTACAGGAGTTACATTTAAATAATATAAATGACAATAAAGGACATCTATCATTTTCATTAGACTGTCGATTACAGCATTTGACAATTGGTATTTGTCTATTGAGTACATATGTTGAAATTATTCGCCGTTTGTCTCATTTACAAACATTAGTTATGACCGATTGCAGGATCGATCAATCCGAAGAAATAATTAAATCGTCATACTTAACTACAATTCACTCATCGTTAACGTCTTTGACGATCATTGGTTTCTCATTTTCTACAAAATATCTTGAATTATTACTTTCTCCAACACCCATACTTCGTTTTCTCAAACTTATTGCTCATAGACAGACACTTGACTCTGTATTTGATGGAATGTATTGGCAACAATTTATTCAAACTAAATTACCTCTATTGGATAAGTTTGACTTTCTTTTCTTATATTCTCTTAAGCAAGAAGATAATACTAATAGTCTTGATATGCTAATTGCTCCATTTCGAGCATCATTTTGGTTAAATGATAAGCAATGGTTTGTTATTTGTGACTGCTTATTTGAGGAGTCTCAATCTAAAATTAGACTCTATACGAAAACAATGAAGACTACAGATTTTAGCAATGCAATCAGATGTGAAAGATCATCTACAAATAACGATTGCAATCTGATACGGAATCAAGTGAATGAGGTACGTATGATTCTATCTTTAAAATGAAAAATCATAAATATTTTTTTTCCTTTTCCTACCGTTGTCACATGTATCTTATTCTTGATGTACAGACACTAACCACACTGAACCTTCATGGTATTCGAATTGGAGCTAATGGAGCACGATATCTTGCTGAAGGATTGATGAATAATACGGTGATTAGCTATCTCTTTTCTATTTTTAGTATGTTTATTTTATTTACAAAACTATAGGTCCTAACAACACTTGATCTTCAATTTCATAAAATTGGTAGCGCGGGAATGCAGCATCTCGCGAATGCATTGTATCATAATACAGTAATTTTCATTTTTTTTCTGTGTGATTTCCATAATCATTTTCCTCGATCATTACATATAGACACTCCTCGAATTAAACCTACATGAAAATGATATTGAAGACATAGGAGCGAAACATCTCGCTGATATTTTACAAAACAATAGAGTAGTTCTCATTTACGTCTTGTCCTTCATAACTGTATGCTTATTTTCTATTAAAGTCACTTACTACACTCAATATCAGCGATTGTTTAATTGGAGATACAGGAATACAACATATTGCTACTATGTTACAAAATAATATGGTAATCTTAATTATATCTTGCTGCTTATCTCTCACATCAGTTACTTTTTTTTTATTATAAAGGCAATTGCTATACTCAACATTAATTACAATGAAATAAGTGCCAATGGAATACAATATCTTGCTAATGCTTTACAATCTAACACGGTAAATTTCATTTTTCGCTGTGTATATATTTCATATTCTTCTCTTGTATCTATGTGTAGACTCTTACTACTCTAGATATTGGGGGTAATCATTTTGGGGATGAAGGTATAGTCTATATAGCTGATGTATTACGATCAAACAAGGTAATACCCTTGTTTTGTTCGCTGCGATTATCTGTAACTTTCATATAAATATAGACGCTCACTGAATTATACCTAGCTGCTAATGATATCGGTGAAAATGGTGTGAAGTATTTATGTGATGCATTAGAACATAATACAGTAACTATCATTCCTTATTCATCAGTAAATATTCGACTTCATATAGACATTGATCTTGTTGGACTTGCATTTCAATAACATCAATAATAATGGAATACAACACCTTGCTAACGTTTTACAAAAGAATGCGGTAATGCTTTTCATTTTGAACTTTTCTTAAATATCTTTTTGTTTGTATAAAGACACTTACCATTGTCGATATTAGCGATACTGAAATTTCAGATGAAGGAGTATCATATCTTACTAACGTTTTACGAAATAATAGAGTGAGGTCATCGTTTCTACAGATGTTTCTTATCCAAATTTTCTAAAACTATGTTTAGACTCTTACCACATTGAAACTTGAGCAAAACAACATCGAGGATACAGGAGCACAACATCTAGCCGATGGATTACGAAATAATATAGTAATTATATATGTTTTTTCCGTGTTTGTTCTGTATTGCATTTTTTTCATTGCACAGACTCTCACTAAACTGACACTTGCTGGTAATCCTATCGGTGATGATGGAGTACACCATCTGACTGATGCTTTACGAGATAATAAAGTAATTATCATCTTTTTTATCTTCTCCACATTTATTTTCTTTATAATAAGGCACTCACCACGTTGGATCTTAGTTACAGCAACATCGAAGCTAAAGGTATATTATGTATTGCTGACATTTTAAAACATAATACGGTAGCCCTCATTCTCTTATTGTGTTTCTCATACTCATTTTCTGCTATACTTAAAGATGCTTGCGGTATTGCATTTGGAATCCAATAGAATTGGTGCTAACGAAGTACAACATCTCACTAATGCATTACGACAAAATACAGTGATATTATTTGCCTTTTCCTTAGACAAGTTATTCAATTCCTATTTGTATAGACACTGACTGAACTTAATCTTAACGGAAATAGAATAGAAGACGAAGGGGCAGGATATATAGCTGATATCTTGTGCTGTAACACAGTAAGAATAGCTGTTTCTCTATTTATCTTATGTATTTATTTACTTTACATATTTGTGTAGACACTCATTACAATGGATCTTCGATCCAACATGATTGGAGAGATGGGTATACAGTGCATTGCTAATGCTTTACAAGATAACATGGTGAGATTCATTTTCATATACCGTCATTACTCACTTTCTTTTTGATTTATTTTACAGACCATACAAAAAATATATCTACGTTATGGTAATAATTTTTCCGATGCTGTTAGATTATCACTTGATCAAGATTCGCGATTTCAATGAATTTTGTTTTTTCATTATATTTAAGAGCATAAAGAGCACATTTTATTGTTATCTAGTAAGGAACTGTCAAAAATAAAAATAAGAGTGGGATGGGTGTGGGTTTGAATAAATAAAGAATAACTACACTCACGCTCGCCGTTTAAATTTCTTTTTATCTATTCGTTCAAATCCTTCTTTTATCAACTGGGTGTAGGCATGAAAAGAGGTCTTCACACCCACACCCACCCACACCCTCAGATTATTCGTAGAAAAGAAATCATTTTTGTCTTAAATATGAATGTGCATATAAATGAAAAATTAGTTATTTAAGGAATCGAATCTAATCAATGAAAAAATAGAATAATGATGTGATAAATGTATTAAAGATGAGACTGTCACGAATCTACATAATGATAAATACCATACTTTTGTCTTAGTTCACGCAACAATGTCCGATTCAATGGACAACGAATAGTTTTATTCCCATCCATGTAACCATCAATATTCCATTGTTTATATTCATGAATAATATCCTCGGCAAATACATCAGTGCAAGCGAAATGATTTTTTCCTGATCGAATAGTGACGAGATTGCAAAAACCTTTGTCTTTTTCACACATTTCAGTAAATAGTTGTCCATCAGAAGCCAGATTATCTCGAGGATTCACTGGAATAGAAAATCCATTCATAATCATATGAGCTGCTCTTCTTACAAGTTTTATTATTTCCTCCTTTTTTATTCCTTTCCAACGTTTATTCATTGGATAATAGAGACCTTTGATATAGGGTGTTCCAGATGTCAAATACTCTTCGAAAAACGATGTATACATTTTCTTAGGATTTTTTTCTGGCCAAGGTCGAATAGCACCAAGATTTATGGTCACAGATCCATCAGGTAGAAAAACTTGATAGAATTGCCCTGTACCAGGACCACTGATATGAATATCCATCAGTTGTACTTTTCGTAATTGAGCCATAAAATCATTTTCAGTTAGTTCGTATGCAGGTGGTCTTGAGTCTATCGAAGTAGTATTGAACTGAACGGAACTATTATATTGAGTTTTGACAAGATTATAGGAAAGATAAGAGATACGAACTAAAGGCCATTCTAATTGCTGTATGTTATTTCTCAGTATATTCAAGTATGTATTTGTATAGTTGTTTATCTCATTTATTGCATCGTAAATTTCTTTTCTATCATTTTCATTGAATCGTTTGTTATCGATAATATATGCATTTAGAGGATATCGAGGATGTCGACCTTCAGAAGAGTTCTTCTGTCGAGTAGTTGGAAGGAAGAGACCATGTTGCTTATACATTCGATCGCGGAAGAGTTTAGAACCATTGAGTTCAATACCACCAGGTAGTTGATAATTTGGTTGAATACAACGCTGGCACATGTTACCAGTACCCATAATCAATTCATCGAACATATACCATCTTTCTGTTGACATACGTTCAAGAACGTTGAGCTTGATAATACCAAGACCAGCAAAACGACTGTAAACATCCTCACTCCAACATAAATTGCATGGATCTATATGAACTAATAATCGGAAAGGATGTAAATGTCTGGGTGTGAAACGAATAAGTGCCAAATAAGCTGGATAGAGACCATCGAATAGCGCGTGAGCAATATTGTAGTGCCATGATTGACTAAAAAAGACAGTTACGTCTGGAATAATCATAGGATTAGCGATCTGACGAACAAATCTATCAAGTTGCTTGTACGAAGGAAACTCATATTTAGTTGGCGAATTGTCCCATAGGCCGAACGCATTATAACGGACTTCGAGTGGTGGCAATGTTCTTCCATTTACAATTAGAATAAGGAATGTTTTATTTACATAATATAAATTTTTATATAAACATGATTGATTATATAAGGGACCGACACATTGAACGGTCGTTTCTAAAGATCCATATTCTGAAAGAGTTAATCCATTTGTCCAAGAAAATAGAGAGTCGTCACTATTGGTAACGTTTTGATGCGCTAATAGAATTCTATTGGAAATAATACTTCCAATACCGTTTACTAGTCGGTATTGATTCATGATTAGGAGAATTATAGATATAGATAACGCTGTAAGAAACACTATTGCATGAATTACAAATTTCTTTTTTAATTCGGTTAACATGATTGATGCTAATGTAGAAGATTGTTTCGAACTACTGCTACTTACGTTGTGTGTAATGCTATTTTATTCTCAACTGTAAAAGTGTACGCGATTGATCGTATATTTGCTGTCAGAAGAAATGAATTTCTTCCATAGTAAAATATAAAACCATGTGCGCGACATTTAACTGACGCTCTCTTTATTATTCATTTGTGATGGAGAAAAGTAAACACAACATCCAATCGATCACTGTTTCTTTTAATCAAATAGGACATTTCAATGCATCAACTGTTGAATTAAAACAATTGACTGACCTTGAGATTGACGAATAAAATGATTTTGTAATATATGAAATTGATGAATCACCGAGAACATAAAAGATTGAATTTTATATAGTTGAGGATGAGTGTGGGTGTAAGTAATGAACAAACAAACTCATACCTACATTCACCCTCAAGATGCTCCTTAGTATATCGTTATGAAATAAAATATCATCAAAAAATTCTTTTTTTCAACTTTACCTTGTATGAAGACAACGAAAAACATACTCTATTATAATAATAAACTAAAATATCTTTCCTTTTCATTTCTCGATAAACATCGTGGTTAAAGATACAAGGGTGTGGGTGTGTGTATGAGTAAAGATGAATACAATATCCACACTCACCCCAACATTGTCTGCCTGGTAACGGGTGTGAATAAGTGTGGATACTTTATTTCAACCACACCGACCCACACCCATCGGTATTACAAATATTTAAGATAAACTATTTTGTAGATCATTTTCTTTCTTATTTTGATATATGATTTATTTTGAAATCTACAGTAATTCCACAAAATTCTATTGTTGAATTATATGATGTTAAACGAGGGTGGGTGTGGGTGAGGGTGTGGGTGTGGGTGTGGGTGGGTGTGGGTGTGGGTGTGGGTGTGGATGTGGATGTAGATGGGTGTGGATGTGGGTGTGGGTGGGTGTATCTCTTCACCCTAAACCCACACCCACACTCCATCCATCTTGAGGGTGGGTGTGGGTGAGGGTGTGGATAAAGATGGGTGTGGGTGTGGGTGTGGATGTGGATGTAGATGGGTGTGGGTGTGGGTGGGTTTATCTCTTAACCCGAAATCCACACCTGCACTCCACCCATACCCTCTCTTTATTAATAGTGTAAGGTGCCATTAGGCTAACTTTATACAAAGGAATCTTTTTTAATTTTTCGATCAACTAGTGGACTATGAATAGCCAATTTATTGTTGCAAGGACTCTTCTCTACGAGAAAATGAATAGATTTACTTTGACTTATATCAATAAAAAGATAAGTTAAAGATTGATAATGACGTTGAAAACTTGAAAATAATTTATCAATAATTGGTTTTTCATCAAATCGAATATGAAGCTTAATTAAAGAATTTTGATTAAGTCTTTGAAGAATTGTTCGTAAATAAAAATTATCTGCTGAATATAATTTTAATTTTTGAAGATTTTTTGGAAATATATTTCGATTCAGTATTGATGCACGAAGAACTGATAATTCTCGAAGAGATTTTCCATGATATGTTATTAATTCATATAAGGAATTATTTGTTCCATAATCATGTATTGATAATTTTGTTAAATGATTTAATGGTAATGATGATAAACAAGGAAATATCATATCAGAGAAAGCTTTTTTATGAAAACTTATATGAATTGATCGAAGATTTACAAAAAATTTTAAATTAAATTTTGATAAAAAATATTTAATTTTCTTGAAGCTTTTTTCATCGTCTTGCATTGAAAGATGAATAACATGTTCAGGATGAATATGTTGTTTTAATGAATATAATTCTTTGAATGAAATTAAATAAAAATCAATTGAATATTTAAGATCATAACCATTTAAGATTTCATTTAAAAATTGATTTAAATTTGAAAATGAATAACTTATTTCAAATGGTTTCAAATATGAAAATATTATATAATAGATTTCTATTGGTAAACGATTAAGTTGACAATAAGACATTTTAGACAAAAGAAAGTATACTTTACAATCCTTTATTTCTATTTATTAGAAGATAAGAAAGTAACATGTTATCAAAAGAAAGACAAATATCCGAGAATTTTAAAAGATGTAAATATTAATTCTAGTTATACGAGTCGGGAAATTTTTAGCTAGTGATAAATTTAATAATATGACCATCAGTATAATTAGAAAAGTTAAATGATAATTAATATTAAACGAAATTATTTGATTTTAGTTTGTTTACTATTTGTTAGAGAATATATCAAAATAATCGCTATAAATGAATATTTATCAGAAGTAAAATATGAAGGTTTTGACCGGAGATCTTTACTATATTAGAGAGTAGTTCACGTTTAAGATTAGATGTACACTTGTTTCATTTCAGTTTTGATTAGCCGAATAATTCTTTTGAATGAAACTGAATTCCTAAGCACTTCTCGATATTAATAAAGAAAATTATTTTATTAAAATAACGAAATATTCGAATCTTTTTGAAAGAATAACGTAACGGAATGTTTGTTTTTTCTTGTCCTTACATCTTATATAAGACTATCATTTCATTATATTCGAATATATTTCGATCCATCATTATTTTATTTCACCTTATATGAAAATCATTTGATAAATCGATGAGAAATATTTAGTTTCCAATATTTTTTTTTGTGTGTATAAGAAAATAAATCTCAAATTTATTCGAGTATCATTTCTATCGAACTTTTGATTTGAAAATATTGTTTCTCTAGAAATCAGAAGGTAATAAATAATCATTTTTTTTATTGTTTTGAAATTCTACAAAATACAATGAAAAAAAATGAATATTAAGAAGAAGAATTTGTTTTTAAAATGAACAAAGAATCAGATGCATTTTCTGATGCATTAATTGTTATTGGTTTTCTTTCATATAATTCATCTTTAAAATCTTTATATTTTAGAAGGATGTGAGTTCGGGTGTAGATGTCGGTGGGTGAGTGGGCGTCGATTTAGGTGAGTATGAGGCTCTCCCTAACCCACACCCACCCTCAAGATGGATTTTTTTCAAAGAAATACAATTAGATGAATAAAACAGTATTTTACCTATAACAAAACCCACACGGACGCAATAAAAAATAAACAGTTATCCAAATCATCTTTCAGAAAAACAATCAAAAATATTATAAGATAATATTGTCAGTAGTTTTAAATTAAAGGGATATTCTGCACATCCATGTATTATTAAAACCACATTGGCTTCACCATTATTGACTGATATAGTTACTCAATCAGTTGTAAATGCAATTGTTGATCGTTTGAGCGCGTGCTTTTGATCGATCTAATTTGCTAATGATGACAATCCCATTACAATTTGTTGACATATCTGATTCGTGTTAATAATTCCAGGATTATGATATTGCACAAATGCTAGACATAAAAATAGCTGATAGATGCTTTTAAATCGTAATTTATATTTAATTACTTTTTAATAAATCAGCATATTGTTCTAGATATTGTCGAATGATAATAGGATGTCGTTCATTTCAACTCCAAAAATGTTTTTAACAGTATAAAGGACTGTAAACTATTTGAAAATTTCAAAAAGTGCTCCGATGGTTTATATTTATCTGTAACTCGAGGGTACGGATGAGTATTAATGACTGCGTGAGTATTAGTTGAGGATAAATCTCAGTTGACAATTACATTTATATCCATCTATACAGAAATTATCGAATTTATCAGGATCAGCTACAAAATCGATTTTCTAATCTGTGTATTTTTTCTATTAATTCTATACAAAATAACAAAATATCTTGTTCAAATAAATATTGTTTTCTCTGTTAGAAAACATTGCATTTTCTTCTGTAAATGACGATTTTCAATGTTTTTCTTTCATATCCTTCCTCCAAAGTTTGAATATCATGAATATGTATTCTATTTACAGCATATCATGACTGACATTTGGTAGGCATTTGTTCATAAATTAGCTTTGAAAAAGGAAACGAATTTGTTGTTTTTATTTACCGATCATTTTCAATATTGTGTTTTGTTACAGATGTTTCAATAAAAATACTTCATGTTGATATTATTCTGTAGACTAAAAGTGTAAGCCGTTGGCTTGGACGCGCGTCGGCTCTAGCAAAAATGTTAGCTGCCAGCCGCCGGCTTCGGGAAAAATCGGCTGACGGCATACACCTTTATCTGTAGAAGAAAAAAATTGTTATTTTTATGATTATTAATTTGCAGAAGCATATTGTTATGTGAATAATGAAAAAAGAAAGATTTTTCAGTTTTTGCTAAATCATTTAAAACTATTTCGCTAAAGTCTTCTAAACATGTCTATATTAATAATTCTGTTTTAATTGATTCCTGAAGAAAGTGTTTTTCATTGTTTTAGTTTTGCTCAAGTATTTTTTTCATATTTGAAGATATGTTTTATTTTGATATCATCTGTTTTTATTCGATATTTTAGATTATTCGTTTTAATAAGATATTATTTCAGTTTTATACGTGTCCAAAACATTCATTATGAATCAAAATCAAATCGGAGTTTGTGACGTAATATATTTAGTTCAAATTAAATAAAATAACGTTGATTTTATTAAATTATTTTAGTCTGAACCAGTTACGTCGAATTCCGAACAAACATCAACTGATCGATCAACATTATTGTATGTGTTTTGTGAATTGCTGAAATTTATAATCGAAAGAATTTTTTATTCTAGAAGCAAATGTTTTGTAAAAAAGAAATTCTTATGGATCATTACTGGTATTATCATGGTTGTTTTGGTCGTAACTATTCCAACCGTAATTATTACAACAAAAACAACCAACGTGATGAAACCATCAACTGTGACAACAGACGTCACAGAACTATCAACTATGGAAACAACAGATAATCCAACGACAGAAGGTATGATATTAACACGATAAAAGAAAGTCGATATTCTTTTCTTTTTCGGTAAATTATTAAAATATTTTTACGATATGTTAGTGTGGAATTCAGAATTTTCAACTGTTTTCAAAGGTGGAAAAGCATAAAATTTGCCAAAAAATGTCATCATATAACATGGACAGTACTCAAAATATGCACTTTCTGCAGAGTTTTGCCATCAAAAAGTGCTTTTGTATTAGAATTACTAGAAGCAAAATGGCGAAAAGAGCATGAGAACTAAATTTCTATCCGGGTTTATAAAAGAACTTTGCTAATTTTGGCACAAAGACAGATAACGTTCGAATTTGGAAAGGGGGCGGCTGAACTCCCCATTTCCCATAATTGAAGCCCTTGGTTTAGTTTATTTTTGAATATTTTATCAGAATTCTATTGCTTGGTTTTTGATAGAGATAAATTCTAAAACACATTTCACCAAGAAAAATATCGATAGTTTTCATAAAATTCTTAGTTCAATTTCTTAAGGAACAATTTTAAAGATTTATTTTCTTTTTCGTAAAAACAATGTTTTGTTTTTGTGAGTGAGTTTCTTTTGTTGTTCCTTACATAAAGTTGAGAGATCACAATATACATTTACAAAAAATTTTCATAAACTGTATAGAGTAGAATTGACAAACGGTAAATTATTGAGAGACAAAGAAGGAAGTTACAATATTTTTTTCAAAAATTGTATTCTAAGAGCTTATTAGTGTGTCATTTTCTCTATGAAATATCTTGTAATTAGCGATGTACCGAGCCCGAGCCTCTCGATCAGTCTTGGGCTCCGTGAGGGCTCGGATGTCAGGGTGGGTGTGGGTGTGGGTGAAAAGAATAGTAGCCGTACCTACCACACACTTAAGATGGTTTTCTTTTGTTGTTTAATACTATAAATATAAAATTTTAATCATCTTTCCTTTTTATTTTCAATTGATATTTTAATTTAACGTCAAATTACTTTTTTCCACTCTTAGTAGAAACCGAGCCAAAATGTGACAAATGGAGACAACATGGAATTACTATTGCTGGAGGACATGGTGACGGAGATCAATTAAATCAACTCAATATCCCTTTTGGGATCTATATTGATGATAGCAATGCTATTTTGATTGCTGATACTATAAATCATCGTATTGTTGAATGGAAATACAATTCGAACAGTGGTCAAATCATTGCAGGTGGAAATGGGAGAGGAGCTCGACTAGATCAATTGGATTGGCCACTCAACGTAGTTGTTGACAAACCGAAGAATGCAATAATTATATGTGATTATGATAACAAACGAGTTGTACGATGGTTTCGCCAAAGTCAAACGAAACCACAAGTTGTCATTTCAAATATTGACTGTATCGGTGTGACAATCGATAGAGATGGATCTATTTATGTTTCTGATTCGACAAAGGCTGAAGTAAGACGATGGAAAGAAGGAGACACAGATGGAACATTAGTTGCAGGTGGAAATGGGCCGGGACATGAACAAAATCAATTCAGTAATCCTGGTGATATCTTCGTTGATGAAGATTATTCTGTTTATGTAGCAGATATTAACAATCAGCGAATAATGAAATGGACAAAAGATGCAAAAGAAGGAATTCTTGTTGCTGGCGGAAACAATATAGGGAATGGTCTCAACCAATTAGCTAACCCTTATGGAATGATTGTTGATAAGCTGGGTCAAATCATTATTTCGGACTATAAGAACCACCGAGTGATGTTTTGGCGCGAAGGAGATACAGAAGGTGAGATTGTTGCTGGTGGAAATGGTGAAGGAAATGAACCAAATCAATTAAATTCTCCGAGAGGTGTGTCATTGGACGTTGAAGGACATCTTTATGTTGCTGATTCCTATAATCACCGAATTCAAAAATATGAACTATGCACTGAATAAAATGAAAACTGTTGTACTTTGAAAATTAACTCAATTGTGAAATAATATAAGTCATTAAAATAAAAAAAATATCTTTTCATTGAAAAATATATTCATTTTAGCTTATGAAATATTCATCACAAATGGAAGTTGTAGTTTCTTGAGAAGTCTTTTTCACGTATATGAGAGATTGTTAAGTTTTTCTTGTGGACGTTTAATCTGAATAATTTATTGTCTCTAACTTTGGATTCGAATAAAATTTGCGAAGTATATTTTGACGATAAAATTAACCTAAATAGAATAAACGAAATTTATTTCGATAAATTATAATATTGAATTTTCTTATTTTCTCGTCAGAACTATCATGTATGAAAAATAATGAAAACATGAGATTTAATGCAATATAAATAAACGAACTAAATGTAGTTGTAACTTCATTATATCTCTATTTCTGGTCATGTTCTTGTGGTTGATAATGATCGAAAATTTCCAATTATTATTATAAAAAATAAGGTTTTCATTACATTTACTCTATAATGGTTAAAAATATGCATGCGTTTATTGAGGAGAGTCCTACATAGCGAATCATCATTATAATTATGCATTCAATGTCTTCAACAATTTCAAAAACGAATTTTTAGTCATTTGAAAAAGTCTCTTTCTATGAGTATATTAAATCACTTGGTTGTTTGAGAAAGGCTAATTTATGTAAAATAAAGTAATACTATTCCAATCTTAGGATTTTCTTTTTATTATATACATTCCATCATCGTATATTCGATATGAACATGAAATATTCTATTTAACTTTTGAGAATTCATCCAATAAAGTATTATATAAATTTTGTCTATTTTGTAGAGAATATATTATACAGAAATAACATTAATTTATGTAGATCATTTTATTGAAGATACTCATGATGATATATAAGAAAATAACGAAGATATTACGGCTTTATTTATAGACAAGTGGCGAAGAAGAATACTCTTGTAATAAATATCAAAAAAGGATCAAAGACATTCTTTGCTTCGCATCGTATTAAAATACATACGTTACTATAAATAAGTGTGGGATTCAATATGTGTATAGGAAGATTTTAAAGATTATTATTTTCGAACGAAAACATTTCTCTTTTCTTATCAAATAATCGATTTATATGATTCGCTACTTGCCAAAAATTTATTTTCATTGATTGTAGCGCTCATATTTAGAGAAACGATTTTTGACAAAGAATAGGAAAAGTTTACAAATAACTAATAACTAACTGCTGTTACCCTTATCGAAAATGGCTACAAATTTAATAGTCCATGCTCAATTAGAAATACATAATAATTTTACATTCATATTAAAATATATTGATTAATTTTATTACTATTAGTGTATTAAACGAACATTTCGTCGTCGTAGAATTCTTCTTCAACAAGATGGAACTTTACATACATCTGTTAATCTACAATATTTAATAACTGTATATTGTTATATTTTTAATTGTGAGAAAATAATACTTTTTATTCTTTTAGTATTCACATTATTTTAAAAGAAAATGACGGAAAAGATCAATCAATGATAGATTATAAAAGTTTAGCAAAAGGTGAAGTTGACCTGAATTAAGTAAGTTATAAATTTAAGTTTTAAATAATACATATTATATTACTGTAGAATTAATTACATTAAAAATAATGATTAGCCTTAACAAAATAGCATACTATTGATCCTATATGAATTCTTTCTTGAACGATAAATTCTAATCTTTTAGATTATTTAGCAACCACAAAGTATGGATCTACAATTATATTCACCCAACAATCACGATCAATAATTTCTTCATCAAGTACAATGCCAAATAAATTAGAAGCAATAGGACTAATATCAGATCGTTTATTAACAAAAACATCTTCATTTGGGTAAAGAATTTTCTTAATATTTCTTTTTTCATGTATGTTATCTTTTATTCTCTAGATAAATCATATAATGATGATGATGAATATAGTGAAAAAGAAAATTCTCATACAACAAATTTAGATCATCAACCAGATGTTGAAGAAGATCCTCATTATCAGATATAAATGATATTACAATATCTGTTGAACATTTACAATTACTTAAATTTGTAAGTGAAATACAAAATAATTACTGTTATTAGTAGAGAAACATCTTGAATACATGATGAACGAATTCATTAGACTTAAGGGAAATCAAGCTGGCAAAGTAAATTCATTGAAAGCTGAATAAATAATTGTTATTGTTAAGTGCAGGATATTTTATAAGTTAAGAACTTTGCTGAGTAACTATTAGCTAATTCAAAATTGATACTCTCATTTTATTTCGTCGTGTATATCTTCACAAATAATAGAACATCAATTTTGTATAATTGATCGTTTATCATGAACTCTACAATTTATTTACGTTGAGTCGCATCGATGAATTCGATAGGCTCTCCTCTCTATGTCAAATAGTCTAGTGAGATGCCAAATTATCGAATTCACCAACTGAATTGAATGTACCGATTTTTATTCGATACGTGCTGATACATAAGTTTAGCATAAAAGTTTTCTTTTCTTGTTTAGTTTTTTGGGTAAAATGTAATTATCATTGCTATATAAACCTATCAATGAGAGTATGAAAACGAGAATATGATAAAACATAGGCATGTACTGAACGATTTCGAGTATTTTCAAACATCGTTCACTCAGTTTTTCCATCATTTTTTGTTATAGAACCAGAAGATATCGCATTAACTTAATTCTAATATAAAAGAATGAAGTATACATTGATAGCAAAGTGAGTTTATCCGCATGGGTCTTTTTGAGCTGTTCGATAATTCATTTTAGTTACGAATTCAAATACGAATGAAATTAAATTTTCTAGCAGTTTCTGATCGTATAGATCGACTATATTCAACAGGGATGTAATTGATATGGTTGATTAGTTCTTAGACAATCTAGAAATAATATAATTAATGTTACTGTTGAATTTTGAAAGAAAATGAAACGACATCATTGTAATCATCAAAAAAGCAATATTCAAATGATAAAACTATCTTTTTTCTATTCTCTTTTAGTCTTTCGTATTTGAAAAAATTCTCAATATGAATCACTCTTTAGTTATAATGATTCTTCAAATGAAATATCCGGTTATAGAAAGCATTTATGTAGATATTATAGATCTATCACAAAATATTACACAATATTCAAAAAACATCTCAACGTACATTTTCTTTTTATTACTATAAGATTTTTCCAGATTTTAAAGAAGATTCATCGCCCACATTTTTATCATTCTTTTGCACGTGAACAGCTGTTGCAAACGCGAGTCTTGATTTTATATGAAAAAGTATGCTTTAGTATATTCGTCTTGGCAAATTATCAATCATTATTACTTAATTCATCATAATTTAAAATAATAAATATTTTAATAAGGATTCCTCATACCGATGGACTACAACATGTTAATATGATCGAATCTCAAACAATAACAGGTATTAATCAAACTTGTTTTGTATACCGAAATCACAAAATGTTGAATTGGAAGGTATGTTAATAATAAATGAATAGATAAGTATTTATTATTTATTCGACATTGGCATGGATCGACTCACATGATAATGTAAAATTGAATCTTAATACTTTCAATGAAACTTTTGTTTGTATTTTTCAAGGAAAATGTCTAGGGTAGATTGGACAGTAATCATACGATCATCATATTAGAATCATTCTTCAATATTCAGTAACTAGTACTTCAAAACCTGCAATTGATTAGTTATAACTGGAATTCAGATCGAAGTCGTACCTAGAGAGATAGTTAAAACCAAGCATATGAAAGACGAGACTGATATATACACCCTGATTTTATACAAAAAAACTATAATAAAAGTTTTTAGTTTGATAATTATATTTAGAATAAAGTCATGGTAACTTTGAGCAATAGAGCGAATCGAATGATATAGAAGAATACTCGTTTTGACACACTTTTACTTGAAATGTCATATAACAAAAACGAGTAAAACTTCAATTTCTGGGAAACGATTAATTTTTTAAAGACATAGTCAGTGAAAGAAAATACATAAGATAATATCATTCGAAACAGCACTTCAGACTGTACAAAATGGACTATTTATTATAATTTCTCTTAAATTGGGAGACTTACAAGTCGTCGATAGCATGAGCTAGAGCGCTAAAATTTAGCGTAACAATGGAATACATAGAGAGTAATATTATATGCCAGAATGAAGAAAGATATTACCGAGAAACTGTTATTAACTTCAACACAGTGATTACTCTTGATAAGAAACAAAGTTATTCTTGTCTGAAAATAAAAACTTCATCGAAATACTATAGTCAATATTGCGAACTTTTTGTCTTACTAGAAAAGAAACTATTATATTTTAGTTCATTGAACTACTGTAATTATTTTTTTATAGAATATATTTGTTAAATGAATTATTCTATTGCAGTTAATATCGTCTCAATGGCATATATATATATATATATCAAATACTTTGTACTTGCATCAATTGATGAAATACCCAATACTTTGTTACAATAGTTCATTATTGTGACATCTACTATTCTCTTTTAGTTAGTTAATTTTTGTAGGTATAATAAATTATAAAAGATATTTCGAAATGATGATCGAATATCAATAAATTCGGAAATATTTATTTGCGAGATAATTACATATTTTCACACATGATTAATTTTGTAAACATATATTTTGCTTTCGTTTCTATTTATCATTTCACCTTGAGTCAAGTATAGACACGTGAAAAACGAGTCAAATAAAACGAATTTTTTCACGAAGACACCACTATTTCGTGATGGAAAAAAATAAATCTCTGTAGGAGATTAGAATTACTTGCCGGTAGTTTATAACATTGAATCAGTTATAAGCTATTATTATCAGTATAATTAATCAAAATTCGATTTTTATTCTAGATTTTTTTCTCCTTTCGATTAATCATGAAAGCGAGTTTACTGATAATTTTTTGTATTTTCTTAAATCAAATCAATGGACAAGAAATGGAACTTATCGCTGGTCATGTCGTAAGTTTATCTATTTGATTCAAAACAAAAAATAAATAAAACTACCATCTACAATGTTCTAGTTATTCAGACATGGTGACCGAACACCAATTCAATCATATCCAACTGATCCTATGAAAGAAAAAGATTGGCCAAATGGGTATATTAAGCAATCTTTATTATTTTTAATTTCTTATCGATTTATATATATATATTTAGGTATGGTCAATTAACAATTGCTGGTATTGAACAACATCATCGTCTTGGCCAATATCTTCGTACTCGTTATGGGTCAATTTTAAGTTCGAATTACACTGCTAGTGAAATTGTTGTTCGCTCAACAGATTATGATCGAACATTAATGTCAGCTCAATCCAATCTTATTGGTCTTTATGGACTAAAGAATGTTTCGGATGATACAATTCCAATTCAACCTGTTCCAATACATACTGTACCAATGGAAAAAGACTTTGTATGTCACAAAAGAAAAGTCAGAAAATAATATATTGATTCTTATCTGTTTAGTTATTGGCTGTAAGTGACTGTCCAAGATATGAAGAAATAGAAAATGAAGTCTATCAAACTGATGAATTCAAAAAAATGAATACATACTATGAAGTATAATTATATTTTTTGTCGTAATCATCAAATTAATTCGTATCTTTTAGTCATTCTTTCAAAAACTCCAAGTATGGACAAATATTAGTAATATGACGCTGTTGAATAGTTGGGGTATTGCTGATACAATATTTATAGAAGTAATAATCAAATCGTAATAAACAAACTAAATTACTTTTGTTCTTATTAGCATCTTTATAATAAAACACCTGCATGGGCTGATGATGCAGTTCGAAAAAACTTAACTGATATTAATGAACTTTCATTTCATTATCTCTATTCAGATGATGATGCAAAACGATTACATGGAGGTTAATAAATTGAAAATTCAAAGACATTTATTTATTAAACAATATTCTGTATGTTTTATAGGTCCAGTAATTCAAGATATTTGGTTAAATATGAATAATTCACGTCATGGAAATTCATATCGAAAATTTAAAATGTATTCAGCTGTAAGATAAACAGAAGTTTTTGAGATTTTAACTAAGATGGATTATAACTTCTAGCATGATACAACAATTAGTGCAGCTCTCGCATTTCTTCGTATTAATTATCCACATCAACCACAAGTAAACAAATTTAGAATTATACATATATATATATTAATCTTTCTCTTTGATTATAGTATGCATCTGCTTTATTTGTTGATCTTTATAAACAAAGTAAAATTTTTCCTTCTATTAAAACTAAGTAAATACATGTATGATTAATTATAGATTCAAGTTATTTTGTCAAAGTGGAATATTTAAATGTGACAGATTCAAATAAACCATATCCATATGTATTAGATGGTTGCTCCACAACTGAATGTCCATTTGAGAAATTTACTGATATATATAAACCTCTTTTTCCCGGAACATTTGAAGTTGAATGTATGAAAAAGAATCCAACTCCAGGTAAATTAATTTTATTTGTTAAATAAACTAGTTTATTTATTTATTTCAGGTGGTGATGGAAATAATAAGAAAATGATAATAATTTTAAGTGTCGCAGGTTTTGCTCTTCTTCTTATTATTGCTGGTATATTTGTGGTTATTTATCGACGAAAAGCTGATCGTGGTGCACCTCTTCTCTCTAGTGAAACATATTCACAAGTAGCATAAAATCTCGATCTCGATCTACTCTGATAATAAATCTCTCTGTCGTATAAACTCTATTTATTTGATAATATAAAGTCTATTTTTTGTTGGGAAGTCAATAAGCATCTGTATTTTTTTTTCATATAATAAAGGGAAAAGGATAAAAACGTTTAATGAATTAATAATTATTATTTGTTAATAATGGAATCAATATGAAACAGAACTTGAAATACTTGACGTTTTCTACAAGTATCAGATTCTTACGAAATAATTCACGTTGTACATATTGTTTATCTTGAGGTTGTGGGTCTGTATTGGAATTCGTTTGGGGTGGGGTGTATGTATGTATGAATGTTAGTTTGGGTGATGTGAGGATGTGGGTTAATAGAAGGCCGACTCTTAAGTTTACAACCCCACCGATCGATTCAGGACAAAAGAGCACCTGAAAAATCAAATGCCGACTCGGTACATTACCAAAGACTCGTCACGTGAACTGGATACTTTATGACGAAAAAATATAAATCTCTGTAAGATATTAAAACTACTTGCTGGTAATATAGTATTTATGATAAATTCATAAATTAAATCAGTTATAAACTAATAGTATCAATATAAATAATCAAAATTTGATTTTTATTCTAGATTTTTTTCTCCTTTCAATTAACCATGAAAGCGAGTTTACTGATAATTTTTTTTATTTTCCTAAATCAAATCAATGGACAAGAAATGGAACTTATTGCTGGTCATGTCGTAAGTTTATTTATTTGATTCAAAACAAAAAATAAATAAAACTACCATCTACAATGTTCTAGTTATTCAGACATGGTGACCGAACACCAATTCAATCATATCCAACTGATCCTATGAAAGAAAAAGATTGGCCAAATGGGTACATTAAGCAATCTTTATTATTTTTAATTTCTTATCGATTTTTATATGTATATTTAGCTATGGTCAATTAACAATTGCTGGTATTGAACAACATCATCGCCTTGGCCAATATCTTCGTACTCGTTATGGATCAATTTTAAGTTCGAATTACACTGCTAGTGAAATTGTTGTTCGCTCAACAGATTATGATCGAACATTAATGTCAGCTCAATCCAATCTTATTGGTCTTTATGGACTAAAGAATGTTTCGGATGATACAATTCCAATTCAACCTGTTCCAATACATACTGTACCAATGGATAAAGACTTTGTATGTCACAAAAAAAAACGCAGAAAATAATCTATTAATTTTTATCTGTTTAGTTATTGGGTTTAAGCGACTGTCCAAAATTTGAGGAACGAGGAAATGAACTCCATCAAACTGATGAATTCAAAAAAATGAATACATACTATGAAGTATAATTATATTTTTTGTCGTAATCACCAAATTAATTCGTATCTTTTAGCCATTTTTTCAAAAACTTCAGATATGGACAAATATTAGTAATATGACTCTGTATAATACTTGGAGTATTCCTGATACAATATATGTTAAAGTAATAATCGAATCACAATAAATAAATTAAAATAATCTTGTTCTTATTAGCATATTCATAATAAAGCACCTGCATGGGCTGATGATGCAGTTCGAAAAAATTTAACTGATATTAACGACTTTTTATTTTATTATTCCTATTCAAATGATGATGCAAAACGAATATATGGAGGTTAATAAATTGAAAATTCAAAAGATATTTGTTCATTAAAGAATATTCTATATGTTTTATAGGTCCAGTAATTCAAGACATTTGGTTAAATATGAATAACTCACGTCATGGTAATTCATATCGAAAATTTAAAATGTATTCTGCTGTAAGATTAACAGAAGTTTTTGAGATATTAGCTAAGATTGATTATAACTTCTAGCATGATTCAACAATTGGTGCAGCTCTCGCTTTTCTTCGTATTAATTATCCACATCAACCACAAGTAGAGAAATTTAGAATTACATATATATGTATTAATCTTTCTCTTTGATTATAGTATGCATCTGCTTTATTTGTTGATCTTTATAAACAAAGTAAAGTTTTTCTTTTTATTAAAACTAAGTAAGCACATGTATGATTAATTATAGATTCAAGTTACTTTGTCAAAGTGGAATATTTAAATGTAACAGATTCAAATAAACCTTATCCATATGTATTAGATGGTTGCTCAACAACTGAATGTCCATTTGAGAAATTTACTGATATATATAAACCCCTTTTTCCAGGAACATTTGAAGTTGAATGTATGAAAAAGAATCCAACTCCAGGTAAATTAATTTTATTTATTAAATAAACTAATTTATTTATGTATTTCAGGTGGTGATGGAAATACTAAGAAAACGGTAATAGTCTGATAATATATCTCTCTGTCGTATAAACTCTATTTATTTAATAATATAAAGTCTTTTTTTTGTTGGGAAGTCAATTAACATATTTTTTTTCCATATAATAAAGGGAAAAGGATAAAAAAGTTTAACGAAATAATTTACGTTGTACATATTTATCACAGATCTTTTAAAATGAGTATTTCATTGCAATTATTAGCGCATTATCATATGGAATGATATTAGATTTTATCGTAGTTCGAAGTAGTTTCTATAGAATTTGATTACCAGATAGATCGTTCTAAGTGTTTATTCAGAAAAATATCTAAAAACATTGACTACGTCAAGCGATGAATAATATATCACAACACAAAGGCCATAGATGTATCGCAAAATAAAGAGAAATTTCTATCATATATATATATATATATATATGATCTGTTAAAAGCTTTTACCATGCCAGTTATATCCGTTTCTTTTTATTCTCTTTATCAATTAATTTCTAGTTAATATTATTATCTTTTCTGTTCTTTCGTACCGAAAGTCTCTATCTATAGATTGTCATACGACTTTTTAAGACCGTCAACATTACAGAATGATACTGCGTAGTATGTCTATTGCAAACCGTAGCCGTATATCCATGATGTTGATTTGAACTATCGATCGCTCTGCATACATTGTCTTACAAATATTCAACTAGATTTTGAACAACAACGAAAAGGAAGAGAATACTAACGAAACCTATACGAAATAGATTTAAATCTAACGTCTCACAATTAACAATTAAAAACGATGTAAATCAAACAGTACGTGTAAGATATGTTTACTTCCTGGAATAAAATTCAAGTATAAAAATCTTTCATTGAAATGTCATTCTCACAATCGAATGAAGTTTATTAGATATATTAATTCTATTGCTCATTTAATCAGAACTATAACATAGAAATTGATCTATATTCCCTAGTAAGCTTTATGCATGATATATATGTAGATTGTTGTTTTGTCCTTTCGTTGCTTGTTGACATATAAGAACTTATATAAGATACAGTATTCTTTATAAATAACAACCATTTCCCTATTGATTTATATTAATGTCCACTAACGAATCGTATTTATCTATCTTCTAAGTTGTGAAAAAATGACCTTGTTCATGAATTTCTTTGATTTGCCTTGAAATGATTTATTTTTTTTAGAATTTGACACTAGTTTATAGATATATATGTCCAAATAACTTTCGTCTTAAATTTCCAAATTATAGATCATGAATATATCACTTCAAACTATATAAATCAATGATATATAATTGGCCAGAACCGTCATCATTCATAAAAACAAAGGACTTTTGCTTGATCGAGCAGAGATCTCGTTTTATTCTTCAATGCGCGGAGACGTGATAGACAGAAAATGACAACGGCAAAAGAAAGAGGAGAAAACTGCGACAAAAAGAAGAAGAAGAAGCAATCACACACTATTTGCAGATAATTCAATTTTCATGCCAAGGGTAAAGAATAGTGAGATAAACCGGTTGAGAAAAAAAAACAACAAAATAATCAAAGAACCATCATGATAAGTGCGAAAGAAACAACAACAACAACAAGAAGAAAAAAAATTACACGCGACAAAAAAGAAAAACAGTACTTGTCTTGCCTAGAAACTTATTTTATTTTTCTCTAACCATAAACTCTACCTTTGCTAATCTATGTTACTAGTCATACACAGTATCACATCGGCAGAGATTGACGAAAAAACAACAAAATGGGAGTATTGCTCGATCGTTCTCTTTGCTGTTTTCTTTTTTCTTATTGTCGAAAAAAAGAAAAAGAGGGACATACAAGAAACAAAAACAAACAAACAAACCAAACACTCATACAAAAAAAAAGAAAGAAAAAAAAAAGAAAAAGAAAAAGAAAATCCGAAATAAACAAACAACAAGAATATGCATGCCAGCAAAAAGATGTTTGTGTAGAAAACAAATAGATAAAAAATAATATGTGATAATCAAGCATATATATGTATATATATGAGTGTGTGTGTGATGTAAATAAAGGAAGACAAAGGAATGTCGAAAAAAAAGCGTTTTGCTGATCTTTTTTAAACAGGGCTTTGCACTGTAATCAGATGATAATACACACAAAAAGAAAATGGTGGGATGAGAGAGAGTAGCAGACATGCAAAAACACAATGTACAGTCGACGTAATGATATCTAAGAAAAAGAATAAACATGAAGTTTACTTTTTTTTTAAATTTTTAATTTACCGATTTTAATGACCATGAAATCCATTGGGATAATGTGATGTCAATAGTGAGGTCTAAGAAATATAAAATTATTTTTTTTTCTAAGTAAATAGGTTTATTTACAGTCATAGGTAAACCAGGTGATGGACTTGTAGGTTGTAAATATTGTGCAGCAAGTTGATCTGCTTGAAAAAAATCAAGACCATTACCACCTAAAAGAAATTATTTAATTACACTTATTTTTTAATTTTTATAAATACAAAAAAGATATCTACTTCGTTGTAATAAAGAATCTCGAGTAAGTTGACCATTAGGCATTTGTTGAGGTGTCAATGGATATTCAAAATAACGTTGTTCACCAGCCGGTGTTAATGTTGGCGTTTGAAGGCCAACAGTAGCTGGAATATAACTTATCTGGGCTGATTGTAAGCCTAGCAAAAATAAAGAAAATAAATAATAATTTGTATTTATATTGAATATAAACAGAAAGAAAAGCTTCTGTCAATATAGTTAAATCACTAATATCCAGAAGGAATCAAGGGAAAAGAAGATAATTTACATACAGGTCAAAGAAAAAGAAAGCAGTGGCACATGCTTTATATATATATATATCTAACGACGAAAACACTGCTAAGTTTTCTTGACCTGTATGTTTTGTTTTTTTCTATCAATGATTGTTCAATTAATTAAACAATCAAAAATGTGTATGAATAATACATACATATAAATATTCTAAAGCTAGCTTTAATGTGTCATTTTACTATAGCACACTCTCACCATCAGTAGAGGACATTCCGCCTACAAAAATATAGTGCGTATACAAAAAATAAAACAAACACACATAGAAAAAAATTATTCATTTGTTCTAGAGAAAAAATTTAAAAAAATATATATATAATGTGTGTAACCTAACATATCACGAACTACGAAACTAAATATATAGATTAATATATATATATATATAAATATATACATAATCTTGTTTATTTTTCTATCCTATCTTCTATACGCTCATAATCTACTAATAGAACAAAATCACATACGGATTATAATTTTATATTATTTCATGATGTAACTGAAAAGACTTGATATTTTTTTGCAAACAATTCAAAAAGAAACAAAAACATACCAGGTGAAAATGGATAGATAGGTGCTGCATAAGTAGCTGGAATACTTCGATTTAAACCATATACATAAGCACCTAGGAAAATAAAGAACGAAATAGTTTTTTTTTCAAAGAAATAAAATTTATTTACTAAGTAGATCACCATAGGCACCACGTTGTAAAGCTGCTTTTCCTTTAGCCATTTGTTGAGCATACATAACTTCTTTTGGTTGTGCTTTTTTACATTCAACCTTTTTTTGTTTCAAAAAAAAAACAGTCAAATATATAAATACAATTGTAATTGAATATCTACCATTTTATTATTGATTTCATGAAAATGAATGGCACATACTTTATCAACAACATCTTCAGATTCCCAAGTGACAAAACCGAAACCTGATTAGAATAAATAAAGATGAAAAAAATTCTATTAAATAGGCACAAAAAAAAATAGTTTCAATTGTCAAACCTCGATGACGTGCTGTTTGTTTATCAATCATTAACATAGCATCTTCTACTTTTCCATATTGTTCAAAATATTTTTTAACATCTTCAACAGTTGTATTTGCTGATAATCCTCCAACAAAGATCTTCTTTGTTCGTGTCACCATCTAAAGAAGGAAATATATATATAATATTAAAAAACGAAGAAGAAGAAGAAAGAATGGATGATTGCTCCTACACACGCACATACGTTATTTATTTGAGGATTTACGGACCTTATATGTAGGTGTCTCTTCATCATCATCGTCATCTGCTTCTTCTTTTTCTCCTCTTCGATGCATTATTTAACTTAAGCGTATATGCACACAAGGTATCTCAAGAGACTACTCGTTCTCGTCATCCAATTGCCGACAATCAATCTGTTGCACTATCGATCTAATGAACCTTGTCGTCGTCGTCATCATCAACGACGATGACTATGATCAATATATATATATATAGACAGAGCTAAAGAAAAAAAAGAGAACTACTCAATTCTAGTATTGCTATCGTAGCACTAGGAGTTATGCGAACGAACAAGTGAAGAGAAAATGTTTCTATTAGGCCTTTAGGGTATTATCATTTTGTGTTTAATTAGAGAGAATAGACGACAACGACTAAATTGAGATTTCTGTCAATACTATCGATCAATCGGCAATAGCGACGAATAGTTTTTCTTCTCTTTTTCACATACATATTATACTCGCACTGATTTGATTATACGATCGAAGTCTTTTTCTTTTCCATTCTCATTTCATATTCAAATTTACCCGCTAGTGATGACCTTTATGACGTAAATCCAAGTAAGAGAGAGAAAAAAAGGAGGTGATTGTCCACCCGCCGGTAGAGTTCAATCCACATAAACAAAGATGATGGTGATGATGGATTAAAGCAAAATAAAGAAAGAGAGAAAAAGGTTTAATACACTATGTACATTATATGTACGATCGTATGAAGGTTAGCCAAACAGACATGTGATGAGTGTATGCATACATACATACATACACATATAGTAAAGATAAAAGTCATTTCAATCGCGGTCAGGAAACAAAAAATGAAGACGAAAGAAAAAAAACGAATAGGAAGTATTGTTTATTCAAAACTTACATCGTTTGATGACGAACTTTTATTTGGAATATTTGAATTAGGAATCGTATTATTTAAAAGATTATTATTATTTGATGAATTATTCGCAGCTATTGCTGCCATTGCTTGTTGTTGTTGAACAATTTCATTCGGATCCAAAAGTATATATGTAGCCATGATAGGATAGTAATCAATTATTGTGACTGAATTTAGGTGTATATCGCATGTGCACTATATGTTTCGGTATATGTGTACATTCGTGCGAAAGAATGAGCGGGATGGATGGAGAAGAACGAAATCTATCTTCTCTTTCTTTTTTTCTTCTTCTTCTTATTTTTTTTCTCTCGAGTGGAGAGAATACGAGAGAGAGGGAGAGGGAGAGAGAGAGAGTTTGAAATTCTCTCTCATATATGCGTACATACACATACACTACTTGTTTGCTCTCTTGCCTATATACTTGCTATCAACAGCACATCGTCCTATGAAATTTCAGAATTGTAGAGTCAAACGAGCCGAGAAGACGACGGTAACGACAATAGAAAGAAAAAAGAGAGAAGAGAACAAGGGGAGAGACCTACTAGATGGACAATGATGATGTTGATGGTGTTGGTAATGACTAAGAGAACGAACAGTGACGCTCATCTAACTGAACTGAACGAGAGAATGATGGATGGTTGGAGGCTTTTGCAGGGTCAGGAAACAAAAGAACGCTCGTGAGAAAGAGTTCGTTGTCAATAACATAAATTGCACCTTCATCTCTTTCTTTCTTTATATACATATATATATTGAGAAAAAAAAAATCATACATCGACCGACCACTGCCCATTGACGGTTAAAGGTTATCATATATGAATAAAATTCTTTCATTAGAAAAAAAATGAAGAGTATTTCTTCAACTTATGATAACTAAACATTCACCTGTTCGTTATATTTACAATAGAAACAATTAAATTACTGCATGCATCTATACTCTCTTATTTTTATTTCGTTTTCATTCGAATTTGTTAATAGAATGAAGAAAAAGAATGTTGAAATGTGTATAGCTAGGTGCAATCAATCCTTCAATTAAATCGATCTTAGTTTCTCTTTCTCATACATATATATACTCTACCAATACCTGTCTTTTTCTACTATTACTTCTAGTAGTATGTAAAAAAGAAAAGAAAACGAACATTAACAAATGATTGAGTATCAATTCTAATAAGGATAATTATTTGATAAGATACAATTATGCATACCTTTGCTTTACTAAGAATATCTTGTGCAGCAATATTGTCAAGTAAAACTAATGTATTGTTATTTCCGTTATTCATATGTCGAAAGAAAAATTTGTTGGAATGAAAGAGAAGAAGAAGACGAGTGTTAAATACACGAAAGCAATATAAATCAAATGGATTTTGTCACTTGAGAATAGACAGTTAGATCTTAACTGTATCTTTGTTAGCCATCAATTCATTCTATCTTATTGTCATCCATAAAGAATAATCATGAGCAGAACGAAGTGAATGCTTTTCTTTTTCTTCTTCTTCTCCTCTTTTCTACTCTTGATTACATTCGAAAATCTTTTTTTTTTCTAGATATATTACAACGGAAAACGATGATGAAGACGACTATGTTTTTCTTCTTTCTCTATTTCTCTTCTCTTCTCTTTTTTGACTTAGCTACTCTTTCCATCTTCCGACTTAAGCAAAGTCGAATGTCCTTCAATCATCTTGCGAACATCCGGTAGAGGAAAAGCGACCGGATGCACACGCACGCTCTCGCAAATGATCTCCTATAGCTATCGTTTTTAGCAGTCTATCGGATCGATTCCGATGAATAACAGTCTTGCCTTTTCTTTCTCGTTCAACAACGAGACTAACATGCAATAAGTATGAAAAAAACTATCATCATTTACGCGCACACGCACAAACTCTATACGAAAAAAGAAAAAATTCGAAAGATAACTTACTTTAGGATGTTTTTGACGAGGATAAGCCGGTTTTGGATCGATCTAAAATTTAATTAAATAATATTAATATAATCATTTATCTTATTTTAATTTATCGAAGAAGGAAAAAAATTAAAAGCTTAGGATATTTCTAAAAACTAATCAAGTGAAACAAAATTTTCTCTTTAGAAGAAAGATAATTGATTAAGTGATTGTTGTTTGTTTCTGATAATATCATATCTAAATCGACATCAACTCGAAAAAGTTGTTAAGTGTGAAAAAACACATCTATTCATGAATTGCCTTAAGGAAAAAATAAAAATTTCAATAATTAATCAAAAGAAATATCTATTTATTTTATGACTAATAATAACCACATAATTTTTCATCATTAGAGTTAAACTCAACAAGAAATATGCATATAAATAAAAAAATATTATTTGTTTATTTTTAGTAATGTTAATTTAACGATGGAGAATGATCCATTGATAAATGATGGTACTGATAATATTTCAACATCTGTTTGATGGACAAGACAAGAATCAATGTACAAAAATATACGCATAACAGATCACGTCTTCATTGTATTAAATAGCAAAAATATTGTCTTTTCTTTGCGCTAAGTCTTTCATTTTCGACCTTTTTTTTCCTATTATAGACAACAAATTCTATTTTCTTTTATTACTGAACTGTTTGCTTATCAGTGTATGTATAGTTATCATGACTAAATGAATAAATAAATAAATATTTCAATCATAGATTCTTTTTTTTATTGAATTGACTTAGGATTAGTTGTACAATAAACAAAAGGATGTCGTTATTTATTTGAAGTACTCGACTAAAAGATTATTATTGAATTGTTTTCTCTCGATTTTAAACACAAATATATTTATATTCGAAGAGAAGACTCTCAATAAGAAATCTAAGTGGGTAAGACGTGCAAATTTAGTATTTAAGCACACACACTTATATAGTAAAGAGAGTAAAAGAAAAACTGTTATAACTCCTGATGAGCTATAGTAAAAAAAACAACTACGAAGAAATTGAGTGGTTATTTCTATAATTTTCTTTTTCTAACTAACGAGTCATGTTTCTCATTAAATATCCGTTTTGCTTTTTATTATATATATATTTTTTTTTCTAATAAAATAATCTTATTTAGTTTTTCAAAAACGGTGATCTATATTTTATTATCATATGTCAACACAATCATCAAATCATTGGCAAAATGAACTATCTATTCAAAATGAAAATACTCGTTTTGCATCTATGTTTATTTTATTTACATTCTTAGCATTTATAATAACAATAATTTTATTTACTTTTGTTAATAATTCTAATCATAATGAAACTGAAATCGTACAATCAAATAATGTACCTTATTATATTCTTGCATCAATTAGTATAGCTTTATTTTTTATATTTTTTATTGGTTCACTTGTATATACAAGAAAATCAATAAGAAGAATGAAATCATCAATGCCTTTACCACTACCACCACCACGTTTAATATTAAACTCAATTGATGAAAGTATGGAACTACCAACGGATGTATAGAAACGTACCTGTTTTTCATCCAATGTATGAACATCTTTTGCGAGAACTTTATCGACTGAATTTGCATCTTTAAATGTGATGAAACCAAAACCTCTGAAATTAGAATAAAAAATGAAATGAAATTTGTGGTTCTTTTTTTTATATATACCTTGATCGTTTTGTAATTGCATCTTTCATAATCATACATTCTAATACTTCACCAAATTGAGTAAAATAATTTTTTAAATTTTCTAAAATAATATAGAAAAAAAAAGAAATCGAAATTATATGATTTCTCTGTTATTTAAATGTAAATTTTCTTCTTCTTTTTTCTCTATTAAAACCCAAATAGACTTACCAGGTGTTGTTTGCCATGAAAGACCGCCAATAAACATTTTCCTAAATAATTTATAAGAAATATAAGAAATAAAATTCAAAATATATATATTACTTATCAAATGGTTTTGGTGAATCGGAGTCATCACCATCTTCTGATCGTGCATCTTCATCATCTTCAATATATTGGGCATGACTAAATAAACAAGAAAAGAATATTTATAGATCATAATTTGTAAGTCTCGTTTTATCTATCAACATATTTTCTTAGTTTTTCGTCATTGACGTAAGAGTTATATTAAGATTACCAGACATTAAGAGATGCTTCTTTTTACCATGACAATTATTCAGTAGTGCTAATATTCAACATGATAAACAACTTTGACACAATGAAAAAAAGACGAACATATAGTAAACAACATCTATACTTCGCGGGCGGTATGCCTATGAGTATAGAATACATTTGACATTTTGACAGTCTGAGAGTAATTATTCTCGTTCTTGGTAGTGTACATAGCAGAAGCAGAAAAGAAAAACTAGGACAAATCCGCCCTCATTATTCATCGACTATAAAAGATTGATATTCTTTCCGTCTATCTTTATTTGTCAAAGCATACCATTTTTTGTTTTCTTTAAATAAATACTTTATATTATATTTTTATGATTCAATTAGAATTTTAACTGCAATCGAGAACATGTCGATGAGAATGAAAAGGTTTCCGATTACCATATATACATATATAAAGATATACATACATACATACATACATATATATTTCTTTAGTATAAAAAAAATAAAAAGTCAAATCATAAAAAAACATATGCCAAAGTGCAAAACGATTAAATCGTTATTAATATACTATTCAATATGAATTCTTTGCCATTCAAGTTCAATTTCTTTCTATGACCTTCTGATAGTAAAACCTTGATGGTCTAGGTCATTAAATTAATGTTTAGCCTTATTTCTTTTTCTAAATCAATCCAATATATAGACAGACACGTTTTGTATTTAATCTATATGTAAGTTGCTGACATATAGACGCAAATGGTAGATGGATAAGCAAAGAATCAAAGTGCTATGTACGGAAAAATTATAATCATCGACAACTATCCTATTTCCGCTAATACGCCTACACAACCATATGCTTACAAACAAATATACCAGAAAAAAAAACAGCAACATCAACAGTTGACAGTGCCATAATTGTGCATAGATATAACAAAAGTCTAGGATGTGTTTTTTTAAACTTCTTACCCATTCGATTGGTATTGAGGAGATCTTCCATTTATATGTGAAGTATAATACTGTGTTGCAGGTGTATAACGATAAGGTGATCTAGATGATATCGGTAGATCATAATGATGAGATGAAGATGAAAGTGCATGATGATGCCATGCTGGCGATCCGTATTGATGATGATGCGAATATGTTGGCGAATAATAAGGATATTGCAGAGGAGGTGGTGCCGGTGTCACACTATCTTTCATTCTATACTATGTTCTACAAAATGACGATAGAGGATAGATGAAGATAGAAAAAAGAGAAATGCATCTGTTCTGTTATATATATTAGGAGGATGAGTACATTCACTAAAGAACTTTTTTTTTCCGTCAGTAAAGAGTATACAAAACAGCAACACTACGAAAGAAGAGAAGGAAGAAAACAACACGCAGACACACATAGAGAAACATAGTTATACACATACAAACACGCAAGAAAAGAAGAAGGACGAGAGAGAGAGTAAAAAAGAAACGAGTTTTTTTTTTCTTATTATTGTTGCATTTGTTGCGCTTGAGAAATCGTCATTGTCATTGTCGATATGATTCTTTCCTTTTTTTTTGCTCTCTACCTAGACAATTGACACAGCATCGCCTATTGAAGTGATTTTTATTTTGATGAATTTAACATGTTCTCAATTCTTTCGTTTTTCGTTACTTTTTTTTTTTTTTATTCACTCGATTTTTTACTGCTACTACTGCTGATGTTGTTGTTGTTGGTTTCTCTAGGGGGTATCGATAAAAGAAATGGTATAGAGAGCCCAAAGAGAACGAGAAAGAAATGCGTAGGACAAGAAAAAAACGAAAGACTTGATGAAGATCGATAACAAGAAGAACTTTTTCCCTATTCTTTTTCTCCGCCTTTACTAATATCAATCCGATCAACACTTTAATATAATCAACCATCTATCGAAAAAAAAAATTATACCTCTTTAATATTATTTCGATATACATATATTCTAAACTTTCAAGTCTAAAGTTCAAAGGGAACATGTAACAAATAGAATGAAAAATATATTTACAGAATATAACAACTAAAAGATAAATATTATATAAGACAAACATTGATATAGATTTTTACAAATAATTCCACATCAAAATGTAACAACATAAACGAAGGGAACGATCAAAGTTAATCGACAAGGAAAAGAATATTCCATTATTTACCAATATGTCGTCATGACGCCATTCTTACGAAAATCTTATTGAACAACATACTAATATTTTCTAAACCTCTTATCAATTTTCTTACGAACACAACAATTGATTTTCTTTTAAAAATTATTTTATTACTTATTTTTATATAAGAAAAAAACATTACTAGTATTTTCTTTCAAACTTAATTAACTCTAGATGTCATTCAACTATGGTCTAGTTTTATAAGAAGAAAGAAAAAGACGTTTACCTGTCCATATCATCCATTGAATAAGTAACAGAAACAGTCATTGCTTCTGATGTTGCCATTGAGTCCAATACTGACATGCTTGTCTATCTTTTTTTCTTACGTACAATCAAATGATCGACAATCCCTATTCACCATTATTATTATCATCATCTATTTCTTTTTTCTTCTCTCTATGTATATAACATTCATTTGATATGATCATCATGTATATACACATCTTAACGAATTCTATTGACCTTTTCATTTACTGTTTATATCGTGATCTAGCTGATAATAGTAGGTGGTAATACAGATTCTGACATGTACAAACGAGTACCATACGGTATATCAGACAGCAATTGTACTACCGGCAAATCTAGTTTCGGTTACGATAACAGATGATAACACAATAAAAACAAGTGTTAATACTTTCTTTTGCTTGATATGAATTATCCTGTAGGAAAAAAGCAAGGTTAAATAGGAAAATTGGATTAATTGATAGGTCAGTGTATTCATTCAAATGAAAAACTGATGATAAATAAATATCTTTGAAAGAAAATTATGTTTTTTTACAGTTATAGATATCTATTTCAATATAAACATCCTTGAAATATATATTTGCAAGAATGAAATATGAATCTTATAAAATAGTTTTTCAACTTTTCTTAAAAATATATACCAAGACACTTACAATTGGAGGTCATTATTCTTTTTATAAGACGATGTTGTCGTCAATTTTCAAGTCCGGGGAATCAAATTTCAAATCGGAGCTGACATAGAAGTAATCTTACTTTCTTCTTTCGTCTCTTTCTTTTTATTAACAAATATTTAAAACGTAGGCGTTGACTAGTGTAATATTTAAGTCTCAGGGTTGAATAAACGACTAGTCATTCAATAGTCATTTTCTTATTTTAGAAGATGCATACAATAATAAAAACAACAGGTTCTATTCAATTTCTCTTTATCGTTTTCATCTTATCAATATCAATTTATAAGAGTGAGTAAATTAAAATGAAAAGTAAAATCTTGACGAAATTGTCCATGTATATATTTAGTATCAACATCAGCTGGACGTTGTTATCAATGTAATTCAAGAAATTCATTATGTGGAATAACTGCAAATGCTTCATTGAAAATCGATGGAACACCATGCAATGGACAATGTTATATACGTTTGAATCGTGATGATCAATTTACTGTTTATCGTGGTTGTTCATGGGAACAAGGTTTTATGGAGCCTCAAGAAAGAAATATTTTAATACTTAAAGGAAATTCTGTTTGGATGTTTTGTGATGATGCACCTTAGTATGTATTTTTGTTATTTTCTTATCATATACAACTAATGTATATATTGATTGTAGTTGTAATGTCGAAGCATCATCTTTATTAACTAGTATGTTTGATATTTAATTGAAATTTTAAAAGATTATTCATTTTTTGCTTTAGCTGTATGTTATCAACCGATATGTAATTATCTGAATTTTCCAGCAGATTGTAAATTACCAAATGCTGATGTTACATGTGGACGTTATTGTAACAATAAATTATGTAATTCAACAGTAATTCGTCAACAAACTCGTAATCGTAATCGAAATCGAAATCGTAATCGCAATCGGAAACCATTAATCTCACCTAAATAAACATTTTTTTCAAAGGACACTAAAAAAACGGTATAGAACTTGTAATAAAGTTTATATTTAATTAATAATACATCAACGTGTAAAGGATTAAGTGATTAATTATGAATATTTTTTTACATATTGAATTTCAGATACTTAAATGAGTCAGATCAAATACTTTTCTTTCGAAGAAAAATCCAAATTAACAATGTGTTGGTAGGTATAAAATGATAAGGATACACACTAGGTGTGCTTATATGAAGACCGGAAGAGAAATGTCGGAACAAGTAATATATATATAATGAATATTCACGCTACTACGTCTAATATTCTCGTATTGTTTTTATGTTGGTAACATTTCATAGGTATTTCAATAGTTGAATATAAATTACTCATTCAAGCATTCAGTCATTGTTTTATATAACCGTTCTTCGAAAAGAAATGGCAAATATTTCTACCATCAGTCGATGAGTAATAGAAGAGAGTGAGAAAAAACCCAAAAATATGATTCCCGATGCAATATCATATGAATCATCTCTAAGGACGATATAATAACATTCTTAAAAAATGCAATGGAATATTTAGATCATTTATTATTGACACTTGTTAAAAGGAAAAATAATGACATTTCGCAAATTATTTCTTTCGATGTGTATATAATGTCTATCAAATGTTCGTATTATATAGGAGAAAAAATAATGAATATGTTTTGTTATTTAGAAATTCTCTATTAAAGAGGCTCGGTGTTAATATAAAACTAAGTATATATTTGCTCTATCTATTGTGTATATAAGCGCCATCTAAGATTGTCAAGGAAATTATATAATAACCAATGATATATTTTCTAACGATTGTATTAGTCATAAGAACTATATGTTTTTCTTCTCTTCTATTTCTATTACTTTTGTGTGTTGTGTTTCTTCTATGTAGGAGAAGTTCTGTGATCAACGGGTTTTATACACGTATTTTATTAGTCAAAATTTTCAAGGTCGTCATGATTGATTTTCTTTTTTAACACGTATATGTATATACGTATATATAGCATTCATCATTAAAAGTATTCATTACTTAATTTGTTCATATATTTGTTTTACTAATATGACATATAAATATATTTGTTTTAGTTCTAGATGTATGGGCTATTATTATAATAAAGATAAATTAAATTATGAACGTTGGTATTGCACAAGGCGAGCGGAATCCAAATAGCTCATGGTTAAATAGCCGTGGTGTTTGGTTGACTTATATTATTCTTGTTTTTGTTCTTCATTTTATTCTACTCAGTATTCCCTATATAACAACATCTGTTGCATGGACTTTAACAACAACTATTCATAATATTGTATGTTAATAATTTAAATTTTGTTGCTTATCTTTTGTTTTTCTTTTGAAATTATTTCTAGTGTAATTATTATATATTTCATGTGGTCAAAGGTGCACCATGGGAAACAAGTGACCAAGGTTTAGCACGTCGTTTTACATTTTGGGAACAAATTGATAATGGCATTCAATGGACGGGTACAAGAAAATTTCTTCAAATAGTTCCGGTTGTTTTGTAAGTTAATTTTATTAATTTGATGATTTCATTTTGTTTTGTTTTGTTTTATAGATTCTTTATTGCAAGTTTCTATACTCAATATGACAAGACACATTTTATAATTAATTTGGCAACAATGCTTCTTGCAGTTGTACCAAAATTTCCGATATTTTACGGTGTACGTTTGTTTGATATAAATCGTTATTGACAAAAAAAACAAAAGAACCAAGAACATTTTTTTTTCTTCTCATTTATAATATGACTCTGTTGTGTTCAGATCTTTTTAGTTTATTTCGACTTTTAAAGAAAAGAGAAATAAGTGTGCCCGAATACAACTAACCCTTTTTTTTTCCTATTTGTTTCTTTCTCGATATTTTAGCTGACAGAAAAAAAGAATAAAATTCTTCTTCTGTGTAACATATATTCATATTCGTAAATACTGATTAGTAATTTAATAATAATAAAAATTAACTGAATAGCAAATAAAATTCAAATCAGGTTATTGATTCTCAGAGGTGGACTAGCCGTGGTTCTCTAGTTACGCTACTACTGATAATAGAATATTATATTTAAAAAGTCTGGACATTAACATGAATATGTCAACAATCTTTTATATGTGTATGATGTAGTATTGTTGTCTTGGTGATACCAAGTATTATTTACCTTCAATCTATGTATATAAAAGAGCATATTTAATATAAATCTTATGTGATACAGTTTATATTCACTATTCATACAATAGTTATTTATGATTTTATAGTAAATATATATTATGCAATCATAAAAAGAATAATGGGAGATATATGTTGATTGAGTCGACGCTAATGGTTAGTTATAACCTTCAATATGATTTATTAACTGATGACATAAGACAAAAGTTAATGTATGTCTATTGTTGAAAATTGATTCAACGGATCTTCATATATTTTATATAAATTTAGAAATTATTTTACAATCATTAGAATTTTATTATTTATACATTTCTATTAATTATACGTGAGTATTTTGTGACTTTGTTTTATTTTGTTGACTTTTTTGTGTATTTGTAGGATTAATTATTCTGTTATTTGTTGTTATCGGTTGAACACGAGTAATAGATGGTCCACAATAAGGAAACCATTTTAGCCATCGTAATTTGAATACTTTTCGAATATCTCTATTGAGCACAATAGTCATGATTTTTTCAATCGCTACTGCCATTGATGGTGTTGTTATAGCGAATAAAAATATTATACTTGGTGCTGCTTCGCCTTTACTTGATACTACAATATAAATTGCCGATGGAATACCGCCAAATAGAAAAATACCAAGTAAAATAAGAATATTACGTGCTAATTCAGCATCACGTTTTGCTCCATGTAATGTTTGCCGAAAGTTTGCTGTTGAACGAATAGTATGATGATAAATAATACCATATATAATACTAATAATTACAATTGGGATGATAAAACTAGTAATTAATAGATAAAATTCATGAATTATATATTTGGGTAGAACTAAACACATTTTAAATGGAACAAATACAATATCTTTAGTAATTATACATGACAATGGTAATAGAAATGAAATGCAAATTTTAAATATGATAAGATATATATGACATTTCATAGATAATAAATATCGATGTTTGTATAGTACTGTCCAAAATAAACGAGAAACAGCTTGAATCACATAAGAATATACAACTATATTAAGAGAAAAATAGTATAGATAACCACGTATTCGACATGACCAATCGGTTAATGAAGATGAAGTATAAAAAACAAAAGCATTCATTGTTGAGATAATTAAATAAAACAGAGTCGATAAACATGTGCTTGATACAAGTAAATTTGTTGAGGAATGTAAGTTTCGTGTAATAATAATGAGAATTATGATGAGTAAACAAGCAATAGTGGAAATACTTATTGATAAAGTATATATGATCATACTAACATTCAAACCAATATTCAAACTATTTAATTGCATTTCACTAGTATTAGTCATCATTTTTAATGTATGAAAATGTTTATCCTTATGATATATAATGCAATGAATGCTGTGAAAAAGTTACACTATATTATTATAAGAATATATACCGATGAAGTATCTACTTATCATGACATATTCATAATGAATAAAGAATAATAATTTACTATATATATTTATATATATAATTATTGCTAATTTGAAATTCATTCAAGGATCTAATAAATAATTCAAAATTTAAAAATATTTTTTATTTCATTTCCTTTTTTTTTTCTAAGTATTCTTGAAAAATTGCAATCAGATATATCTGTCATATGAAAATAACTACTGTCTGTCCAAAAGAAAAATGAACTCGTGTATTGTTGCAATAACTCGAAAACAGAAAGAGCAAGAGAACTGCGGTTTTCCCCATGATGTAGGTAATTGAGTACTCTATATATCTATTAATAAATGTTGAAAATCCAAGTAGATTCAGTGTTCCATCAGTATCAATCTTTCATAGAGTTTGATGCCGTTTTTTCAAATTTTATAGAGACATATGTATCTAAACCATGCAAAAGATAGCCCAGAGGCTCCCCTAAAAAACGAGGCAAGGTCCACCTCTCTAGCTTTTACTCGAGTCCATTGTTGTTTTGGACAGACAGTAGAAAAATGATATTAACAAATACATCGAAGAGATCATGCTCTTTTTACTATCTATTCATTATTTTTAATACTAATTGATCATAATATATTTGCCATTTAAAATAAACTATTTAGATTAAATGTAGTTCTATGACTGAATAATTACTTTCTCCTTGATATTTGTTTGTATTTAGATTAATATTCATCATAAATAAAATAAAGAATCGGCTAGGGTGTGGGATGTGGGTGAGTGTGGGTCTGAGTGTGCAGGTATTCCACTTATATCCACACCCACATCCATATTTTCATTATTTCTCTCTCAAAAGTTAGAAGCATTCATCCATAGACTAGCTTTTAAAATGTTGTTATAGAGATTTTGCACGACAAATCAAATGTTTTAGAAGAATATTCGAAAAACTTATCGCATATGTATATTCAAATTTTTAAAGACAACAGAAAACGAGACGAGACAATACATTAAACTATTGAAAAAACGAGAGCAGGCCTTTTTTTCGATAAAGATTGAAACAAGCATATTTTCAGAGTGCAGTGGACAACATATACACTTCTTTCGAATATGAAAGACATTAATCTCCGATTTTCAAGTAAGTGTCTCTATAATTCTAACTTTCAAGGTATAGAAAGTTGAAAACAAACTAAAGAGAGTGAAAGAACTAAAAGTCGTAAAGGACGAAAAGGAGTAAAGGGTGTGGGGTTTATTATTTATACATTTCTTTTAATTATGTTCGAGTATTTAATGTCTTTGTCTTATTTTGTTGACTTTTTTGTATATTTGTAGGATTAATTATTCTGTTATTTGTTGTTATCGGTTGAACACGATTCGTAGGTGTTTTACAACAAGAAAACCATTTCATCCATCGTAATTTGAATACTTGTCGAATATCTCTATTCAATACAATAGTCATGATTTTTTCAATCGCTATTGCGATTGACGGTACTGTTATAGCAATTAGAAATAATACACCTGGTGCTGATTCGACTTTACTTGATACTATAATATAAATTGTTGATGGAATACCACCAAATAGGAAAATACCAAGTAAAATAAGAATATTACGTGCTAGTTTAACATCACGTTTTGTTCCATGTAATGATTGTTGAAAGTTTGCTGTTGAACGAACAGTATGGTAATAAATAATCCCATATATAATACTAATAATTACAATTGGGATGATAAAACTAGTCATTAATAGATAAAATTCGTGAATTGCATATTTCGGTAGAACTAAACACATTTTAAATGGACGATATACAATATCTTTGGTAATTATAGTTGATAATGGCAATAGAAATGAAATGCAAATTTTAAATATAATAAGATATATATGACATTTCATAGATAGTAAATATCGGTGTTGGTATAGTACCGTCCAAAATAAACGAGAGACCGCTTGTATCATATAAGAATATATAACTATATTAAGAGAAAAATAATATAGATAACCACGTATTCGACAAGACCAATCAGTTGATGAAGATGATGTATAAAAAATAAAAACATTCAATGTTGAGATAATTAAATAAAATAGTGTTGATAGACATGTACTTGATACAAGTAAATTTGTTGAGGAATGTAAGTTTCGTGTAATAATAATGAGAGTTATAATGAGTAAACAAGCAATAGTAGAGATAACTACTGATAAAGTATATACGATCATACTAACATACAAATCAATGTTCATACTATTTAGTTGCATTCCACTAGTATTTGTCGTCATTTTCAATGTATGTGAATATTTATCCTTATGAAATATACTGAAATGACTGTAGTGAAAAAACTTACAGTATATTATTATATGAATATATACTAACGAAGTATCTACTTATCATGACATATTCATAATGAATAAATAATAATAGTCTGGTAGGTATATATATATATAATTATTGCTAATTTGAAATTCACTCAATGTCTGACATAAAATTCAAAATCTAAAAATATTTTTATTCCATTTCCTTTTTTTCCTAATTATTCGTGAAAAAACTCAGTCAGATATATCTGTCATATGAAAATAACGGTTTTATCTCAAAATCCGGAAAAAGCAATCCGGAAGAAAAAGAAATCCGGAAAGAAAACATCTGGAGGAAAAATCCGGAAAATTTTTAGAAAAAGATTCCACAATTTTTTTAAGAAAGAAGCATGTACAAGGAAGAAGAGAAATCATTTAATCTGAAGAGAAGTGATGTAGTTCACTTTTTACTAGCCATCAATAAAGAAAATCCCACGAGATGTTCATCGCAATCGATCTCATTGCCCTCAAAATGTTTGGCAAGTAGGACTGTGAAAGCTCAGGTTCAGTTGTTTCGAACTGGAACTGTCACATTCCTATTAGCAAGAGTATTGATTTTAGCTAGAATATGAGGGTGTGAATAAAGCATGGACATAGCACCCACAATCTTATGGTGCACGTCTGTGTATATTTGCCAATGGAGGTGCAGAGCACAGTAAAGTAGAATGGCATTCGGTAGACGATAATCATGATTGATGTAGACAATCATAAACATTTATGGGTGTGGGTGTGGGTGAGGGTGTGGCGATATTCCACATATATCCACACCCTCACCCAAGATGAACGTTTACGTACACAAGATCGTAAGTTGATGAAAATCCTTTTAACTCAAGTCATTGCTACTATTTTTAATACAGCTGTAACAAATCTTACTCCTTTATGGTTATCAACACATTGGGTGACACATTAATTCGTGTTTTTATATATCTTAATCCAGTTGTTGGATTTTTTATTTATACATTAGCTAGTTCTATTTTCTGTATTGAAATAAAACGTATATTTTTGAAGTTATAAAATTTATTTTGACAGCAATTGCTATATAAAGATACATGCCAAGGATTACACTACAGCGCGATTAACCTTCAACAAATGAATATCGTATGTGAATGGTCATGGGAAGAATTCCTGCCGAGTTCTTCTTTGAAAAAAGGCAAATTCTAGGAATGCCACAAACATAATTTTTAAAACGAGCGAAAGACTTTTATTTGTATTATAATAGTTAATTATTTACAAAGGGGTTTTTTTCATTATTAAAAAAAGACTTTATATATAACCTATTTATTTATAATTAATTGACTTTTTTAATATGAAAAAATAAGAAGACAACTGTCAATGAAATATAAACAGACATTTGACGTTGATTAAGTGGTGAATTGTCACACATAGAAAGATTATCTTAAATATTTTGAATTTAAAATATATCAGAAAAATTAGAAAACACACCATCTTCAGGGTGGGTGTGGGATTTATTATTTATACATTTCTACTAATTATGTTCGAGTATTTAGTGTCTTTGTTTTATTTTGTTGACTTTTTTGTGTATTTGTAAGATTAATTATTCTGTTATTTGTATATGTTATTGGTTGAACACGATTCGTAGGTGTTTTACAATAAGAGAACCATTTTAGCCATCGTAATTTGAATACTTGCCGAATATCTCTATTCAGTACAATAGTCATGATTTTTTCAATAGCTATTGCCACTGATGGTGTTGTTATAGCGATTAGAAATAATACATTTGGTGCTGATTCAACTGTATTTGATACTATAATATAAAGCACTGTTGGAAAACCACCAAATAGAAAAATGCCAAGTAAAATAAGAATATTACGTGCTAATTTAACATCACGTTTTGTTCCATGTAATGTTTGCCGAAAGTTTGCTGTTGCATGAACAATATGATAATAAATAATCCCATATATAATAGTAATAATTACAATTGGAATGATAAAACCAATAGTTAATAGATAAAATATATGAAAGGTATATTTCATTGGAACTAAACACAATTCAAATGGACGATATACAATATCTTTGGTAATTATAGTTGATAATGACAATAGAAATGAAATGCAAATTTTAAATATAATAAGATATATATGACATTTCATAGATAGTAAATATCGATGTTTGTATAGTACCGTCCAAAATAAACGAGAGACAGCTTGAATCATATAAGAATATATGACAATACTAAGAGAAAAATAATATAGATAACCACGTATTCGACATGACCAATCAGTTGATGAAGATGAAGTATAAAAAACAAAAGCATTCATTGTTGAGATAATTAAATAAAATAGTGTTGATAAACATGTACTTGATACAAGTAAATTTGTTGATGAATGTAAGTTTCGTGTAATAATAATGAGAGTTATAATAAGTAAACAAGCAATAGTAGAGATAACTACTGATGAAATACATACGATCATACTAACATACAAATCAATGTTTATACTATTTAACTGCATTTCACTAGTATTTGTTGTCATTTTCAATGTATAAGAATATTTATCCTTATGAAATATAATGAAATGAATTGACTGCTGAGACAAAATTTGCAGTATATTATTATATGAATATATACCGATGAAGTATCTACTTATCATGACATATTCATAATGAATAAATAATGATAATCTATTATATATATAATTATTGCTAATTTGAAATTTACTCAAGAATCTAATAAATACTTTCAAATTTCAAAATATTTTCATTCCATTTCCTTTTTTCTTTCTAAGTATTCTTGAAAAAACTCAATCAGATATGTCTGCCATATGAAAATAATTAAAAAAATGATATTAAGAAATACATCGAAGAGATCATGCTCTTTTTACTATCTATTCATCATTTTTTAATATTAGTTGATCATAATAATAATGATATAAAGATTATATATATCTTTCTTTTTGTATTTGCCATTTAAAATAAACTATTTAGATTAGATGTAGTTCTATGATTGAAAAATTATTTTCTCCTTGATATTTGTTTGTATTTGGATTAACATTTGTCTTAAATAAAACAAAGAATCAGCTGATAGTATTTTATTAAATATAGTAGTGAAGTATTTTGCATCTTCAATGGTTGTCAATGAGGTAGCTCCACCGGAGGTGAATAATTCGATTATTCTATAGTTTGTTAATTAAATCTTTTATTTCGATGATATTTAGCGTAAACAATGGACTAATCCTATTGAATTTTTTTTAACATTGGTTGCATTTGGTTAGTAGATAACTTTTAGTATTCTTCAAGTTTGATATTACGTTTAATATTTAATTTCTAGCGGTTGGCCTAGGAAATGTTTGGCGTTTCCCATATCTTTGTTTTAAAAATGGAGGAGGCAAGAATAATCTGATTGTATTCGTTTTCCTATATTGTTAATGTTATAGGTGCATTTCTCATACCATATACCTTTATGCTTATTTTTATTGGGGCACCTGTCTTCTATCTTGAATTAACATTGGGACAATTTACCAGTGCTGGTCCATTGGCAGTTTGGAAAGTCAATCCATTATTACGAGGTTTGTTAAATCTGCATAGAACAATACTCTTCTATTTTTCTTCTCAATGTTCAAAATCACTTCTGTTATTATAGGTATTGGTTATGCATCAATGGCTACGAACTGTTTTTGGGGTTTATATTACATGGTTCTTATTGCTTATTGTTTTTATTATCTTATTGCATCATTTCAACTTGTTGTTCCATGGTCAACTTGTGATAACTGGTGGAATACACCATTATGTACTGATCAAAAGACATTAGCTAATATGAGTCGAACTGATCTTATTTCAATGAGAAGTATTTATTTTTCTAATTATAAAATTTCGAAAAATCTGTTGCCTTCTTAGATATGACAAGTTCACCTAGTGAAGAATATTTTTAGTAAGAATTTTTGAAAGATAATTGGATCAATATAATTTTATATATTTATTTTGCTTAGTCGTCGAGTATTACAAATTAGTAGTGGAATTGAAAATACAGATGGAATGGTTATTGAATTAGTTGTTGCTTTAGCTATTGCTTGGCTAATATGTTTTCTAGCATTATCAAAAGGTGTTCAATCATTAGGCAAAGTAAATGAATTGTTTTCTATCAAAATAAAATAATTATTATAATTAAAATAGGTGGCATATTTTACTGCCCTATTTCCATATGCTATGTTAACAGTTCTAATTATACGTGGAGCAACATTAAGTGGTGCTGTTGAAGGTATTAAATTCTATATGGGAACAATTAATTTAAGTGTATTAAAAAATCCATCTGTAAGTCGTTCTTATTATTAGAATAAAAATTTGTTTTTTAAATTAAAAATTTAGGTCTGGAAAGATGCATGTACCCAAGTTTTTTATGCGTTAAGTTGTTGTAGTGGTGGTCTGATTGCAATGGCATCATTTAATAATTTCAATAATAATATCTATCGGTAATGAAATATATATTTCGATTATAGTAGATTTTATATTATTTTTTAGTGATACTTTAGCTATTTGTTGTGTTACATGGTTTACAAGTATATTTAGTGGATTTGCAATTTTTACGGTTTTAGGTAGGCGAAAAATATTTGTTATTGTATGAATTGATGGATTTATTTTAAGGTCATATGGCAACTAAAATGGGCGTGAGTGTTGCTGATGTAGCTAAAGGAGGTTAAATAAATAATTCTTGATTATTAGTATTTATCGGTAGATGTTAATATTTTTAAGGACCTGGTTTAGCATTTGTTGTTTTTCCCGAAGGTTTATCAATGATGCCATTTGCACCTTTATGGTGTTTTCTATTCTTTTTAATGATGTGTACACTTGGTTTTGGTTCAGAAGTAAAACTAATGAAAACTTCTTTTTTTTCTATAAATAAATTGTTTTAGTTTTCTATTATGGAAACAGTTATGGCTAGTTTAATTGATGAATTTAAAATCTATTTAAATACACCAAAGAAAATTATTTTATTCCGGTTTTGTTTATCATTTATTTTTTTTCTTGTTGGTTTATCAATGGTAACACGAGTATGTCTATTTTTCGAAAGAACAAAAAAACATTGTTTTATCACACATAAAACTATCTATTAGGGTGGTCTTTATGTTTTAAATATTGTCGATCAATATCTCGGTGGTTTTCCTTGGTTAGTCATCGGTGTTATTGAATTATTTTGTATTTCATGGGTTTATGGTATGGATAATTTTTGTGATGATATTGCATTAATGTTAGGTGAAGAACGACGTCCAAGTAAATTTTGGCAAATATGTTGGAAATATATATCACCACTTATTCTTCTTGTAATTATATTTTCTCTTTATATAACTATCATCCATGAAATTTTTTGTACACATATGTCACTTCTAGTTTACAATTGTTTTCTCTTCGTTATTCTACCAAGAAGTAACATTAGATGATTATACATATCCACCATGGGCTCTTGCGCTTGGTTGGATGGTAGTAATAATATGTCTTGGTTGGCTTCCATATATATTTTTTGTTGAAATTTGTCGTCGTGGAACATGGAATGTATGTGTTTAGAATATTTTATAGTTGAATAAGTATTTTTGCTTGTTTATAGATCATTAAACAAGCTCGTTTGCCTCATGCTGAATGGGGACCAGCTAGAGAAGAACATCGACAATTATCTAATCGTTATACAAGTAATATTCATATGAAAAATTTAAGTATGCAAACATTAACATCAATTGATAGTATTGATTTAAATTCTGATTTATTTGTTAAAAATTTATCAAATAAATCAATTACATCATTTTGAATATTTTATTTTCTAGATCGCTTATCTTTATTATGAATAAAAATGAAAGGAAATTAAAATAACAAAAATAGATGAATAATATATAGTTGTAAGTTTAACCAAAACAAACAGCACGGTTGGATTGAAATTCGTCAAAACTCGCACAAAAACGTTCTATAATGGTAAAAGAAGATATAGATTTTCAATTTTTTTCACTAAATTCAACAAGAAACAACAAAATCATAGAAATATTAATGTGCAAAAACCGAAAGTGAATGAAAAAAAATAAGCAGCACATATAACACATACACGTATTATTAACGTGAATAATATTGTTGACTAATAGAAAAAAGAATAGTGGGTTGGGTGAGATGCGATAGAAAAAAAAATAAGCGTTGGTGAATGAATACGATTAGTATTCGTTCTCATGCTATTGATTCAGTTCCAAGCACCAAGAATATCATTTTCAAGCTGCCATCATACATACATAAATTAAATAAAAATTGAAAACAAAAAAAGGAAAAGGTTGATGACAGTTAAGAAGAGGTAAATAACTTGTTATAAATGCACATGCTGGGATGGTTTTGATAGTATTGACGATTTAAATGAGGCATTAACCGCAGGCAGCTCGATCCGAATTCATTACATCTTCATATGAATTACAGAAGGTTATAAAACGTTCTAGAAAAATATACATAAATCGATTTTTGACGCTTTGTAGTTCCATTTTGAAACTGAATGAGCTTTATTTGCTTTTGGTATTTCGTTGTAATCAAGCAGAATATTCGACTTTATTAGTAAAGCTTGGTTATAAATAACTGAAGTTTTACATATATGTAAATATCTAATGTCAACAAACATTAGTTTTATCTATGTTAGATTTAAAATACAACACAGAAAAACAATAAAAGCTAAATATTATAATCATTCACTTGCAGTTATTTTTTATTGCGTTATATAAAGTATAAATATATTTGTAGCCGTAGTTATTTAGCAATATTAAAGCACTGGTTAACAAATAATGACAAAAAAAAGGAAATATTGCTAAAGCATCTGATTTTAGACTAGATAGTATCATTCACGCATTAACTAGATGAAATAAAAATAATCAATAATGAATTGCACGTCGACGACAAAGGGATCCATGCAATATATCTTGAACACTACAATAGGTGAAGCGTTCTAAATGATAAAGTGCAATAATAAAGCTATGTGTAATGGGGAGGTAATAAATAAGCAATAAATATATTTTATTAGGGAAATATATAAACATGCATACTATATATTTATTCACTTACTTTTAACTTCTTGTAGACGATCAGGATCATTAATAGATTGAAGGTATTCATGAATCTATGAATTAAAATAAATAAATTATTTTTTAATATATAGAAAAAAACAAATGTCGTCTAACCAATTGTCGCTTATGAAAAGTTTGTTGTTCACGTTTAGCAGCGAGTTGTTTAGCATTTGATGTTAATAAAAAATATCGTAACTGATTGTAATCATACGTTCGACGTTGATCATCTACTTCATTACTGGATAAATCAGTTATATCACTAGGACGAAGGTTATCTATTGATGTTGCTTGTGAAAATCGATTTAATGATGCAAGTGAAATGATAAAGAATAATAAAACAATTTGATTCGATAATATGAAGGATTTGAACATGTTTGATGAATAATACTTGACAAGAATTTTAGATGAAAAATAATTCTATAACAAAAAAACACAAAATATGTTTCGACATATATTAGTCTCACTAAGAGAATATTCATAAAAAAAAGGGAAGGAACAGAACGAAAAAACTTCGTAATGTTTATTCATACAGGTGTATAGAATTTGGAACCCCCCTGCTGTATGTATGAATATACATTAGGACATTTTTTTGTCTGAAAGTAATGGGAGAATAAGTATACGCCCATACACATATATATATATTGTTCAATGACGCGTGTGAAATTATTTTTTTTGTCCAAGATAAATATATAATATACCGCCTACAATATATACACTTCTCACTTGTTTTAAACGTGTATTACGTACATCTTAGTTCAATAATAATTCTCATTGCCGATCGATCCATCTTTGTTGAAAGAAATTAAATCTCCTTAATTGGCACGATCCATCAGATGTATACGTTATTAATCCAATAAAAACTGAACAAACCTGTCGTCTTATTTGAGCTAATAATAATAATATTTCATATATATTCAAATGCGGGGTACAACTTCTACTTTCAACACTATGGTAAAGTATGAAATCAGTCCATTGTTCACTGTCTTACCATTTGCTATGAGTGCCACATAAGATGATTGCGTGCGTGGGTAAGAAGACAAAACTTGTCATCAAGAACTTTCTATTAATTATTCTCAGACCTTACCACTAGACTGCATATGAATGAATTTCCTTCAAAAAGTAACCAACAGTAACAGTATCTGGATTCATATCTATTCATTAATTTAAAGGAAATCAATTAAGTCAAAGTCAGTCACTTGGAAATATGATACTAAACGTTTGTTTCATAATATAAAAGGCATATTTTACAATTACCCTATTCCTTCCTGTTTTATGTCAAAGTATAGTTTACTCACTTATTTTTAGAACGTTACGGTTATAACTTAATTAAAATTTTCTATAAAAGCAGGCGGATAAATATCATTATTAAAGGGTAAAGACCTTAAATTTATTATTCTACTTTCTATTTCATTGAAAAAAATATATCATAACTGACGACAATAATATATCATATGTGATGCCCATAAAATTTTAATACAATTAAAAGAAAAAAATATATCATACCTAATGTTAAGAATATTTTAATATAATTAAAAGAAAGAAATATATATAGACTGAGCAGATGTCAACAAGTTATGCAAGGCGAAACGATCCTGATCTTATTCATTCAGATGCTTCTACATCAATCAATTAAGATCGAATAAGTATCAAAGCGAATATGATTCACAATTGATCATTCCATCTTAATTTAATTTATGTTATTAACTGAAAATGTTAATATAAATTAAAATTTACTCCTACAATAAGAACTAGATATGCAATTGATAATGACATATTCCTCTAATTTTATGTATAGTTGTATAGAAAAAGAAAAAAATCAAAACTTTATTGAATTATACATTTAGTGAAGTGTAAATGAACTGTGGAATAATGTGGATTTTATACAACGATATCAATCGACTATTTGAAACCTTTCAAAGTTGTTCTTCCATCAGATAATTCTATCTTTTCCTCGTGAACACTATTCAAATGATATAACCGTATTCAATAAAGAGTTGAAAAACCCCCACAAGGTGTTACTTGCTTATGTTAAGAATAGTTTTAATTATATAATATCTTAACTGTCACACAAGGTTATCATTCATAAAGTGTATCCATGTATAAAAAGTGTATATCAAAAGCACATTGTATTTGCCTTTATATATAAATAGTCATAACAGTAAGAAAGATCGTAAAGACAATACTTAATATTCCAAATAGCATTATGGATGTATTAGAAAGTACGATTTCCAGTAAGAATCGTTGTGATCTTCCCACAAAATAACACATATGATTCATTGAATAGATTGCTTTACTCATACAATAATACATCAAAAGATTATTAACATGTCAGATTTATTATACTTTCCTTTTTTTCATGGTCTATCATAGATTTGCAATGATGACAGATGACAATGTAATATTTTCATAATAATATAAGTATTATTCATTGATATGATTGCTGAAAATGTCTTCGGTTAGAGACATAAGTTTTTTACTTTATCAAAGCATATGTCTTAAATAGGAATATGTCAAGTAATTCGGAAAATAAATAAATCACGTCGAAAAGTTTTGTGGTGTGGGTGTGGAATGAAAAGTAGTTCATGCCTATACATCCACGTCCACACTCATCCTCACCCACCCATCGCTACAACGACGCTGTCGAGCTTCTCGATGGACTCTCACTACTGGTAGCTTCAAAGAAATCAGATTCTCTTTAATATGTCCACACCTTTTATTTATTGTGTCTTCTATGATTAATAAACTTCAATTAAAAATTTTCCGGATTTCTTGACAACACCGCTAAGAGTTCAATCATTGTTGAATAAAATATGAATTTTATATATCATTCTTTTTTTTTTAATAAATTCTATAAATATAACTTGCACATATTGATATTGAATAAATATTTTTTAATAATAAAACTTCTTGTAATAGATCTGTTTTTTATTCCTATTAAACATCTGTTATGCACTCATTTTTGAATTATTTGAAAGACATAAGTGAGAATATTTATTTCGATATACATTTTAAATAAAAAAAAACAAAACAACTAAATAAACAAAAGTCAACAGAATGAGAAATGAGAATTGTTAGTAGTTATATCGTCGATTATATATGATATTGAATTATTTAAGTTACAGGATGTTGAATAATATTTTTCTAGATTTGTAGAATGTAATAATGTTAATAATTCTCTTGAATAATTATTTTGAGATAATGAAAAATCTAAATTTCCTGATGGAAGTTGATCATTAGTTGTTGACCAATTGATTAAATTTTGATCGAGATCTAGAATTTAAAATGAATTTCTTCAAAAGAAAATCTAAATTGTATTACTTCGTATTGATGAACGTTCGTGACCAATTGGTGATGGTTTTTTTGCTGTAATCATTTTATTTCTTTAATAAAAATAATAAATAATCATCCGATAAAAATTCTAATACTTACTCTGGTACAAGTAATGTATCAGTATGTTCTATTGGTGATACGTAGCAAGTTTCAATTGGTATTAATATACTATCTACTGTATGATTAGTTGATAAGATAGTCGAAGAAGAGGTACATGTTGTAGTCGGTACTAAAAATATAAGATGAATCATTCAAATAATAATAGGTATAGAGAGATTTAATGATTCAAGCTGATGTATTTCAAGATCAAACGAATCATAAACTAGTTCGGCATCTGTGCAATCTTTTAAACAATGTTGATTTTTTTAAGCAATTGATGATAGAAGTGTGACTAATAGAGAGGCATCTTTAACAAATCAGTTTAAATCAATAGTACATATATTCAATATGATTTTTACGCTTAAGCCAAGAAGAATAAAGAGACTCATTTTGCCGATCTTTATGATGCGAGGAGGAAAATTTACATTAAAAAATCTACTTTTTTTTAATAACTTACTGGAAAGATCAGATGAAAATGTCGATGTTGAATCTAAAATAGATCAAGATTTTCTTCTATCAAGCAAAAAAAAAGAAATAATAATAATTACTTAGATCAAATAGAGACTTATCATTATTTATTTCTGTTAAACCAAGAATAATCGATCTAACACGAAATAATTGATCACTGTTATACTCTTGTGATTGAACAGTTATTAACTATAAAAAAAAATTCGAATAATCAAAAAGCAAAATCAATCAATAATTTACTTTTCCATATTTATCTTTACGTGTTCGGACAATCGTCGTGACATTTAGTTTATCTCTCATATAAATAATTTGAGCTAAAAATAGAAAAAAAAACATTTTCTATAAAATACAAAATAAATCAATCATACCACGTGTTGGTTCTTTTTCATTCGGTACTTCAAAAGTTAAAATAATTGGTAAACATAACTAAATATATAAAAAAGAAACTTAAATATCTATCTGAAAGAAATAATATGTATCGAATTGGGTCACTATCTCTTTGCCAATAGGACCTTCCTCCTTGGCGGAAATCTTATTGATGAATCCCATGACTTTTCTTTTGAGATATATACTTCTGAATAAGTTAAGTTGAACTTTCCGTTGTCTTATGTGAAGATCTACTCAGTCTGATAAATTAGTTATAAGAATGAAAAAACGTTTTTTTTACATCAAATAATTTTCTTGCTTGACAAACTTCTGTTGGAGAACCTGTTATTATCACCGATGTTCTTCTTCCGTAACCATTAATATTTATTGTCGGAAATTGTATAGTTGTATGTGTATACTGTTCAATAGATTCAATACACATATCTTTTGATTGTTGACGAGTTTGTAAATAAATATGATATTGTTCACTAACTTCAATTTGACATGTTACTTTAGTTAATGATGCTTGAGAACCATAAAATGCTTGAATTAGATAATCTGTTGCTTCTACTAATTCTGATTGATTAATACTTGAACAAAAAAAGAGAGAAAAATATAACTAAAGAAAATCTTATTTTTAGATACTTACAGTCCACGAACAATACAATAGACATCACCAGTTTTAATATATGAACGTGAAAGAACAATAACATTAAAACGTGTACGAACAGTTTTAAATAATGAACAATCATCATTTATAATATGATGGAATTTATTTGATGGAATCAAAAATTTTAATGTCATAGGTAAAATATCTTTTATACGTTGACGAGCATGTTCAATTGATGTTATTGTACCGGTTATTGATACCTATTATAAGAAAAAAGAAGTTTTTTTTGTATAGATTACATTTCTATTTGTAAGAAAAATACTTGATTAGATTTTGTTCCATTTGGTTCACGATTTCCATCAGGAAAATGTATGTGTGTATCTGTTGCTGACATAATACTTTGAATTTGATTACCTTGTCTTCCAATACAATGAGCATGATCAGTAAATGGTATTTCAATTTTCAATGTTGCACGTTCCATAATTTAATAATAATTTGAACATCTACAATTGATATTTATATCCATTGAATTGAAGAAGAGGGGAAAAAAAGGAGAATTTTTTTTCATTATTCTCTTATATTTTATTGGTCAGTACGAATTTTTTTTCTTCTTTTCGTATTTTAGATAAATAAACAAAAGGATGCGAATAGACACTCATCATTCTTACATGTTTTCTTATCATGAATATAATTCATCATTATGTCAAAGATGTTTTTCGGATGAAAGATTTTATTAAAACAAATAAATAAGATAGAAATTCTCATATATATTCAATTTCGACATTTAATAAATTACTATTATAATCAATTAGCTTTTTCTTTTCACATTAGGTGATATACACATGTTTTGATTATTATCAACAAGTTTTTTTTCTAACTTCCATCTGTTGTTTTTATGCTCTTGATTAACGAATGTTGAAGAAATATGTAAAGCAGTTTTATTATCTTAGATTAAATAAAATTCTTTCGATGATTATATATGCTTAACATTTAGTTTTAGATATGAATTAATCGGTTAAAAAAAAAAATTAAATGAAGAGAAAAATCGTTAAGTTATTATTGAGTAGTCTCAATGTCAATCATATGAAAAATCTTCGATCGATCCTCAAACATCGTGCCAAGAAGTGAAAATCATAATATCTCGGTAAACGAAACCGATTTCTGTGCACGCAATACGACTTGATCGTTCGAAATAGTTTGATGAAGTTGATGAAAGCACCGTGTTTAGCTTTAATCGATACGAAGAGAGAGAGAGAGAATTAACTATAAGTAATGCTATTTTTTACCGAGTGTCGTGTCTTATCTGTGTATATATTTGGCTTTCCTGTTCATCAGTTTCGTTCTGAAAAGGACTTGAAATACTGAGGACTAAGACTTTTGCACAGTGCTGCAGATCACAATTACTTTTATACTTTTTCAAAGAGAATTTTTCTGTTACAATATATAGAAAATAAGAAAAGAAATGATGATTATATGATCAAATTGTTTCATTCAAGTCTTACAAACTAAAAATAAAATATGATAATTGAACAAAAAAGAAAGAATTTTTGAGATATAGCAATAAAAGTCTATTTTTATTCTCATAGACGTTGCATTGATAATTTTAAAAGTACATCAAAATATTTGTTGTTGCTAATGGTCGTATGACTCCTTTGCTCAAAAATCTTGAGAACTGAATAATGAAAGCAATCAAACATATATGTTTTGCATGAAAGAAATTTTAACTAAAATTTCAGAAAAGATCGAAGTCTGGATAAGAATTTCATTATACTGCTATATTCGTTGCAACATTGTGATCCATTTGAATGCTCACATATTATGGATGCATTCATAGTAAATAAAGATTTTAAAAAATGCAAATTAATAATAGACTTTTATTAAACATATTTATATTTGCTGTGAAATGATACACATTTAGCTCTTTCGAATATTTTCCTTTCACTCTCGAGGGAATGTTCCCAGATAATCAAACGGTTTAAACTTCATCTTTTGGCCACCAGTAGATCTCAATGAGATATGAGAACCCTCAAAAGGAGTTGTTGCCCCGTGTCTTTTTTTTCGAGATCTTATTATTTTACTGGATCTTCGATCTTGAACACGGTATCTCAACGTGAGATTTCGTCCATAAATTTCTAAAGTTTCAATAAAATCGAATGCTTCCTTAAGAAGTTACTAGATTTTGAGTATGTACTCATATCTTCACAAAATATTTTAAAATGAAGATTTTCTAAAAATTGAATATCTCACGAAGAAAGTATTCGTTTTGACTGGAACTTTAGGAATATTCTAGATATCATCAGATCTATCTGTGGGTAAAATGTCAGGTTGATATTCGTTTATTTGGTTTTTCCTGAAATACTATGCGTAAGATCGAAGATCCAGTTAAATAATCATATCGCAAAAATGGAAGCACAAGATAATAAATCCTTTTGAAGTTTTTCATATCTAATTGAGATCTATTGGTAGTCAAAAGATGGAGTTTAAACAGCTTAAATATCCACGAATCTTTTTTCATCAGTAAAAAACATTATTAAACGATGCATAGCTGCACTAATATAGTTCATTATATAAATATTATTCGAAAAAAGCAATTTTACTTATCTATTTAATAATAATAATAGTAAATATTTTTTTTCTTCCATTTGTAATAAATATTAAATGAGGAGTAAATTCTATTAGTTTCTTGCCGTATAATGACTCTATTGTATATTTAGAGTCATAATAATTTTCCTTTCTATGTATCGTTCATTTTAAATGAGAAATGAGTTTTCATGATTTTCTCAAATATTTTGTATAGTCAATATATATATATATATATTTAAGTTTAATTAAAAACAATGCATTATATATATATTTTGAAATATATCATTGTTTTTAGAGATCGTTTTGGTATTCAGGTATTAGTTTTCATTTCATAAGAACTTATTTTGTTATTTTCTTTCCATGGTAATCAATTAAAGAAATGCAAGTATCTCAAAGAAAGGTTGTCAAGAAAACGTTTTTTGATGAATGTCTTTTATTTTTGTAGAAAAACATAATTGTTATCTAAAAATTTAAGTTTTATTCATTTTATACGAGAATACTTTGTCAATTTCATCATTCATGATATTTAAACTATCCACCCATTTCTACTTAAGACTCTTAGAAGAAGAATTCAAAAGAACAGTTGGACTTTGCTAGTAGTAATCACGAATTTTTATGATATATTGAGAGTTCATTTTATCATCTTTAGAAATATATATTGTATGATGAAATGTAGAAGAATTATTTACTCATACTAACTGTACCCAAGATTCCGTAATTTACTTCATCGTTAATTGTATATTCAAGTTTTTACTTCAAATTTTTTTTCTCTATTTCTTAAAACTTAGAATATTAAAAAAAAGTCAATTTTAATTTTTATTAATTAAAAAAAGTAAAACAGAGATAAATTATTCATAAAAAAAAGAAAAGAATTTGTGCTCTGTTTTTTCTTTTATTAATGATTATTAAGTAAAATTTGATTGAAGCAGTACACACAACATATTGATTTTTTTTATTTAGTTTAATAACAAATACTTCATCGAATAGTTTTATTTTATTTTACAAAATAAAAAAATTTCATTACTATTGAAAAAAAACATTAGTAATGTATTGTTATTAGATAGATAAAACTAGCAGTAAAATCTTTATCTTTAATTCAATACTATGTGAAGATAAAGTTTTTATTTTATCATAGCCTGATTGTTAATCACTTATTGATGTTTGATAATGAAATCTAATCTGTTGCTATGCTTTGTTATATGAAATTTGATATCAATACGTTTATTTTTTAATTCTTATAAGAATTCTTTTATGTCCTGTATAGAGAACTTCTTCTATATTCTTTTTTGTTATTCCATCCAACATAACGTGATTGAAGTGATGACGACAATATTAGTAGAATTCTTTTTTTTCGATGTATTAGGAAAAAAAATGCTTATTAACATCATAAATTTAATACTCCAATAGAATTTTTCTTAATATTCTTTTTCGGAAGAATCAAAATCAATTGTATATAGATGTATCATTGGTATTTGATATTACGTATATAAATAGTAAAACGAATTACTAAAAAAGAACGAGAAAGAGAAAAAAAATGAGAGACGTGAACGTTCCGTGAAGAGAAAGTAAAGATGAGAAAAATAACAGATGTAAAAACTAACGAGTTTTTTTTATATTAGCAACCAAAAGACACAAAAAGAAAGGAGGAGAGAGAGAGAGCCTATAGAGAAAATTAAGTGAAAGTTATGGAGTGAAAATATTCTTTGTTGTAGATACCAACAAACATAATATATCTTGCCACAACGATGACAACTACCAGTGATAAAAACAAAAGACTCTGAACAGTAAACATATATATCTTTTTTCTCTCTTATCAAATATGACATTCCTAAAATTGAATCTTATATTATTTCTTCTAACAATTGGACTTATGGAACAAGGTATGAATTTATACATCTATATGTATTAAATCAATTGTTTTATTTTTTCGTAGTAACAAGTCAATGTCCGAGTTCATTTCCTAATGGTGATCCATCAAATTTATGTTATTATTATAAACAAAGTTCGTTTTCATGGTCAGATGCTTATAATCAATGTTTAACTAAAACTACTGATGGAATTTTAATTGAAATATTTACAAATAAACAATTGGATGCTTTGAAAAATGCAGATATCATTGGCAAAGGTTTATTTTGGTTAGGTGCAAATAATTTCGCATCATGTATGTTAAAATATAATTTTTTTATTCACGTAGATAAAACATTTCCGAGAGTTTAAAATTTATTTAAAAGTTTTTCTTTTTCTTATTTTTTTCTAATATAAGCAAAAGAAAAACACTCATATAGATGCAACATTAAATCGTAAGTTCGTAACGCTTTCCGGCAGCAACATTTATTTCCTTAAACTAAAAGGAAACACTTCTTCGCTTGAATGACAAAGAGAGAAAAAAAATCATTTTTTTTGTATTAAAAAAAATTACCTCTACTACGCTTAAATAAAGTGTAATATTTATTTATTTTAACTAAAAAAAAATATTCTTAATAAATTTCTTCATTTAATATTGTTATCACCAAAAAAGAAATATGGTATATGTCAAGAATAAAGAAAAAAACTAATTTATATATGTAACAGGAATAGAATTTTGTTTTAATAATATCCAGATAGAATTGTTATTCTTAGTCAAAATGTAATATTAATTAATTTAGTTCGCGATTCTAAATGGCATTGGCTTGATGGATCTGTTGTTGATGATACAGTTATTCCATGGTGTCCTAACAGTACATATGAAGTAGCACTTGGAACTTATTGTGCAGCATATGATAGTATTCAAGGATGTGTTAATAATTATTTATGTAGTACTCTTTTACCAGCTCCATGTGTATCAAGTATATTTTTTAATTGAATTTATTATTATTTTATTTGAACGTTTGAATTTTTAGCAGAAAATGCAGTAAAAGTTGAAACAAAAATTCTTGCAAGTGCTAAAGCAATAACTTCAAATATATGTACAAATGCATATGGAGGTGCTTATGCAAATTGGTGGACATATACACTTTTATTACTTAATTGGTTTATACTCTTCTGTTTTATACTTTATTTAAGTATTCGTTTTAATATTAACAAACGTACAGTTATTGTAACAATGATTATTAGTATATTATCATTTATGATGATTATTGCATTTGCTATTTTATGGGGTGTACAATGTATAGAATATATATTCAATCTTTTTAATAGCAATACGTATCTTTTTTTTCTTTAGATCAAGATATTCTACAAATACCATTGATTGTAGTTATAATTGGTTCTTTAGCTAGTGTGCTTTTTCTAATGCATATATGCATTCTTGTATCAAATCGCCGATATGGTAAGTCATAAAAAAATTTATTTTCGTTAATAATAAAATATTATTATAATATAGTGCAAAGATCATTAGCATGTATTATTGTTACAATCATTACAATAGTGATTGAATGTAGTTTAATGATTGCTTTGATTCTTTGTATTGCACATTGTTCAGGATATGTCACACTCACATATTCGAGTATTGATAAAGGTAAATCAATATATATATATAAATTTTCGAAGAAAAATCAACGGTTAATTTAGATATTGTTGCTGCACTTTTATCTGGAATATTGGCAGCAACATCGATTGCATTCTACACTTCACTTCTTTATTTATTGGGTAAATATATTTCTATAACTATTTAAGATGAATAGATAATAATAGTTTGATCGAACTATTACTGAAATCTTGAAAGTCATAGAAATTATCATGATAAATATTTATTATCGTAGTATAGATTATAAGATAAAAGAAAGGAACAAGTTCTAATTAAATATAGTTGAAAGACTTGATGAAAAAACTTCTACTTTTTAGGAGATGCAAGTTCAGATCGTCGACAAAGTGCAAGATCTCATCCAGCTAATTCACTTCCGTTAAATGCCGCACAACAAGTTGCTCCTCGTCGATCACAATTTAATAATAATGGAAATGCAAGAGGTATGACTACAAAACAACCTCAAATGGACCGAGGAACATCACCTGTGGATGAACGTGTACTGGAAGAATTTTATCATGATCGTCCTAAAGATCTGCATCAATATGAATTAGATGGAAGACAATATGTCGTTTATGAAGGACATACGTTTTCCGATATTGATGTATATCGAAAAGGTAAAAATTATCGAACGAAAAAACAATCTTTCTTAATTAATTCTTATTCTAGATTTAACACAAGCTATGTTATTACAAGAACCTGCAGGTTTACGTGAATCAATTGCACGTGCGAAAAGTTCTGTTCATGCATCAACACTTACTGAAGAAATTCATCAAGCTGAAAGTTTACTAATTCGATTAACTTAGAAAATCAAAATAATATACATGAACTCTATAAGAAAACTATATATATATATATATATACCGGCTGTTGTTCTTCTGCTTCTTCTACTTTTTCTTTTCTTCATAAACATTTCTGACTTCTTAACTGCCTTGTTTTTTTTTTATTTTTCACATGAACACAGAAAAAAAATGACAAAATGTGTGTATGTGGGTATAATGAAACTATATATATATACAACACAAAATGCTGTTAAACAATACAGAGAAGAAGAAAAAAACAATAAGTTTGTTTTTTTT